CCACCATTCGACAGGGAATCTTCTTCCGAAAGCAATAAGTACATGGCATATCGGAATCAGAACCGTGAGAAAGAATAAACGACGCAAGAAGGTTGCGCTCACGGGTTTTGCGAGGAACTGACTTGGATACTCGATCAGTCATCACGCCATTATTTAAGGAAGCAAGTTATGGACAACAGGAATGGGAAGAACAGACGTACTTATGGATCGTAAGGACTAATGCACGCTTGGCCTTGAGGACAAGACCAACGAAGAGGGGGCATCGTGTTACGACCCAACAACCATAAGATACGTACCCACGGATAAACTACGGACCGATGGGCCAATCAGAAGGGGATCACTCGTAGAAGCGTGAGCCATCCCTGATGGATCACGAACACCAAAGTGAGCCACCCTAGAAGGATCACGATTGAAATCGTGAGCCTCGTGGAACGACTTACTATATAAGAACCGTTCATTACGCTCATTAGATAGAACTTAGATAGTCAGTCGTTAACATAGCACTCTCAGATAACAATCAGATTGGTTATTCATAACCTCGTTAGCTACGTGACTGCATCGCTCATAAGACTCCAACTCATCTCTCTGCCAACATAAACCCGACGTTGAGTTTATAGATTGGGAACCTACCCTATACCTAAGTACGATAGTATAGGTCAGGACGTCACACATACATAACTTAAATTTATTTAAGACAGAATGAGGAAATATATAGACCAAGATAGAATTGCAGGACTAATTCTTCAGAAGGGAGACATGGTTTATCTATTATAGCACTTATAAGGCTATAAATTGCTAAATATTAAGACTAATAAACTAAGTAATAAGTTAAATATTAGAAAAATAAAACCTTATAAAATCCTTGAATAAATTAGAGAAGTTAATTATAAGCTAGCATTGCTAGATATAATAAAGCTTTAAAGCCTAGTGTTTTATATATTATAACTAGAAAAAGCATAAGTTAATAAACTTACAGGAAGACCTATTTTAAATAAAATTATTATTAAAGATAAAGAAGAAGAATATAAAATTAAAGAAGTACTTGCTATACGCTAGAACTCTAAGACTAATAAAATAAAGTACCTTATTAAATAAAAAGAATACTTAAAATTAAAAAACTCATAGGAACTAAAAGAATACTTTAACTCCCATAAGCTAATAAAGAAGTTCCTTCAGTTTATAAGGTTAATAGATTAAAATCAGCCAGCACAGCATTCCAATTAATTACATTAACACCCCCGCTAAGCTAAACATCAATTACTACCTCTAACTTAGCACACTCTACCTTATCTAATTTATTAAAACTCTTTAGGCTGCAATTCACTATCTCCGCCCCTTAAGTTATTAAAGATTTACATTAAAAACAGATATATAATAACTAAGATAAAGCCTCAGCAGCTTTTTATTAATATTCAGTAAGCTGCTCAGCAGCCTCCTTTTCTTTTAAATACAATCGTTTATGCTTAGAAGTTATATAATTTACTATATTATTAAAACAATAAGACACTGTTATTTTAGAAAATAAACTCACAAGCTAACAATAAAACACCCATCTTATTATAAAAATGACTGCAACGCATACACTCCTTGCAATGCATTATACTATCTATCATTTTACAACAGTCGCCTATGCTATAACATTTACAGAAAGAATAAGCCATTACAAAAAATCCTAATTCTTTAATAATAGCAGCTAAAGAAAGGCGCTTGTATATTTTCCAGGATATTAATTTAGACATACAGTTAAGCATTATAAAAATCACAAAAGAAGTCCAAAAGAAAAATCACCTTAGCAAGCTAATGCAGGAAAGGCCTCTTTATAGGCCTTAAGGACAAGACCAATAAAGAGGGGGCATTATATTACAACCTAAACATTTATTTATACATTAACTAAGCAAAAGTATATACTCTAGGAGTAACTACAGACCGACAGACTAATTACAAAAGGATTACGGTTTATAGACATCCCTATTAGATCACCAAGTAAGCCATCATAAGCCTATGCAAGAGTAATCCAACTGTAAGCCATCTAAAACAACTTACTATATAAAAACCATTTATTATGCTTATTAAATAGAACTTAAATAGTCAGTCATTAACATAGCACTCTTAGATAACAATTAGATTAATTATTTATAACTTCATTAGCTATATAACTGCATTGCTCATAAGACTCTAACTCATCTCTCTGCCAACATAAACCTAACGTTAAGTTTATAGATTGGAAACCTACCTTATACCTAAGTACGATAGTATAGGCCAGGACGTCACACTTTAATAATTAATTTCTATTATTCTTTACTTTAATTTAATTATTTTTTACTAAAGCTTTAGTTTTTTATATTAAGTTTATAAAGTAAATTATTAACTTTAATATATTCTTTTATAAAAAAAATAAAATTATATTTAATTTAATTTTTATTATAAACTTTTTTTTTAATACTTTTTTTAAGTTTATTATAAAATTACTTAATAAAAGTAAGTTATTTTTATTTAACTTTAAAAGCTAAGTTTTTAAATTTTATAATATAATTAAAATATTTTTTTTTTTAATAAATATTTATAAGTTTATTTTTAACTATATAAATTTCTTTAATATTTTTAAATACTTTAATAAGTTTTTTTTTAAATTATTTAAAACTATTAAAAACTTCTTAAATTTAAATTAATAAAGGTTTATTTAGGTTATTAAAGTAAGTATTTTATATTAAATAAAACTATTTAAAAGCAGTTTTTTTAAAGTAAAAGACTATAAAAGAAGTTTTTTTATATTTTATATTAAAAGTAATTTTAAAGTTTTTAAAGTAAGCCTTAAGTTAAGTTTAAAAAAAGTAAAGTTTATTAGTTTTATTATTAAATATAAGTAAAGGTTATTATTTAATAAATGCCTTTATATTCTTTTTAATAAACTTTTTATTATTAAATTTATTTATAAAAATTTTATTTAATTTATATATATTTTTTATTAATTTAATAACTTTATTATTATTTATATTTTTTTTATTAAGGGTTTTTTTTATAATAATATTTTTATTATTATTTTAAATAAAAAAAGAAGTTTTTTTTAAAATAAATTAATTTTTAATGCTATTTTAAAATATAGTAGTTTAATTACCTAAAAGATTTAAAATATCTTTTTAAATAAAAGTTATTAATATATAATATCTTAATCCTATATTTAGTATAAAGTAGCTAGTTCTTAAGGGATAAATCTTTAATATTAGGTTTATATTAATAAAGAGATATAAGGGATTTTATAAGTAGTTTTAGTTATATAGTTAATAACTTTAAATAAAAGTTTAATTTAATTATTATATAAATACTATATTAATAATTAATTATTTAAGCTATATTTAATAAGCATAATAAATAGTTTTATATAGTAAATTATTTTATTTAAATTATAGTTAGATTATAATATATAGGCTTATAATAGCTTATGGAAGTAATTTAATAAAGGAGCCTATAAACTGTAATTTTTTTTTAATTAGTTTATTAGTCTTTAGTTAATCCTTAAGTATATACCTCTAGGCTATTAATATATAGACATGGGGTTCAGGTTGTAATATATATTATATACTATTATATTAAAATATATTATATTTAAATAGTTTAATATATATTTAATAAAAATTAATTAAAAATTAAAAAAAAATTCTATTTATATAATATTTTAATAATATTTTTATAATAAAGTATTTTTTTAAAAATTAATATATTTATATTTTTTAAATATATATTATTATATAAAAATATATAATTTTAACTATATTTATTAATTTTAATTATTTTTTTTATATTATTTATTTATTTTTGTATTTTTATTATTATATATATATTATAATATATTTTAATAAATATTTATTTTTTTATTTAAAATACTTTTTCATAATTAGAATTTTTGCTGTTTTTTTATTAGTATATTAATAATTATAAATGTTTTAAAAAGTATAAGTTTAGGTGGATTTTGGTGCGTACTATAAGCCCACATGAGACTTTTGATACCCCACTATAATAGCTTCGCTGGGCTGGCGTCCCGTAGGGCAAAAGACGCTCAGTCAACACACTACCCATGTAGATTTACAGTGCTGAGACTCAGAGTAGAAGTTTTGCTACTTGGAGCAGCATCGAACTCATATAAATAAATGTTCATCCATTCCCAAATTCGGGTTTTCCACTTTTCCACCCAGATTTCTTATTCTCCTTCCTGTCGCTGCCGCAATGAAAGCGCCAGTAACCACTGATTTAGCCGTGAGCAAAGATAGCAGTTGGGCAAAAAGGAGAGCTAGAGTAAGAACACAAGCTTGTGTATAACGGCTGTGGGATACCCTATATTAAATTTATATTATTGGTGAGTTAACTGCCACAAGATATCTGCACAACTAAGAGTAATATAAGTAATAGTCGCTGCAACCCCCTTTTGAATGAAGGGGAACCTTATCCGGTATCCAAACAGGCGTATTTAATATTTAAAGAGTAGAAATACAGCATTATACATGTATTAATGCTGTATAATAGAGGATAAGTGCTGTATTGTCATAGAGGGGTAAAACTTCATTCCACAAGCGTGGTTTTTCGGATACCAAATACACCTGCTTGGATACTGGATAAGCCGTCCCTACTTAAATAGCTTTGCTATTTATTTAAATACTAGTACTTCTTTGGTAGGTTACAGCGAAATTGTTAAAATTTACATCTGATAAGATTAAACAACTCGCGACATCTTATCAGATCCGGAGACTTTTTGTAGTAACTCGGACCTCCGCGACATCGCCGAGTGACCAGGACCTGCCTCTCCGGGCCGTCGGCGCGTGAACGCATGAGTCACATTATAGGCTATGGGATTGCCGTGAAATTCGCGTAAGCTTTCCACCCTGGTCACTCTATCGTTGACTTACTTCCTGGGGGATTTGATGCAACTTTGCGTGTTAGAGAGTGAGGTTGGTGGTCTACCGAATCGTCGCTGCTGGGGATTAACATGCACTAGTCTCAGAGAACAAGACAAGCGGGAGGACGAATCGAGTTTAAAAAAGAGAACCCTTCCTCAATGGATCATTCTTCTGGCATTGGTAGCATCTGTTACCTGAATTTCAGTTGTGTCTGGTCGCAACCATGATTTTTCAAGGAGAACAAAGGGCAACAGATATCGAAACAGGTGCTCAAATCACGGATGGTCAACAAAATTTGACGGAGCCCCGATTGCCGGGTGAAGAGGTTAGTTAACCTCAACGACATCATTGCTCTCGTCATCTAATATTCCTAGGTAACCTGGGGCGGCCCCGACGACCCGGAGAATCCCTACAATTGGTCCGTATCTCGCAAGGTCTCTGTTGCCCTCGTCTTCTCGACAAGTCAACTCGTGACAACCATGTCAGCCAGTATGGTTGCGCCGGCCATGGACCAAATCCTGAAAGATCTTCATATGAGTCCGTCTGCTGGCCAGATTGCCTTCGGCGTCTTCTTCCTCGGGTTGGGTTTCACACCATTTCTAGTCGCTCCCCTTGCCGAAATTTATGGGCGGAAGCCGATATGGCTAATTGGAAACCTTTGGTATATTGTTTGGAATTCTCTTTGTCCCATCGGATTCTCTGCGGCCTTGATGATCATTGGGAGATTTATGTGCGCGTCTGGAGCTTGTGTTGGAGTTACCGTATGTGTACAATGTCGTCCGGGCACAGACATAACAACTAGCTAACTAGCAGATAGCTAACCGGGCCAGTCCTCGCTGACATGTTCCCTGCGGAAGACCGTGGCAAGTCTTTGGCGATCGCTGGACTGCTACCCTATCTTGGTCCTGCGCTTGGCCCGATCATCGGTGGCTTGGCTGCAGAGCGTCTGTGGTGGCCGTGGTTGTTCTGGATCCTCTCGGCATTTGATGCTCTCGCTCTTGTGCTAGGCTTCTTCATTATCCGAGAATCCTATACACCGGTACTGCTGCGACGCAAGGCCGAATTCATCGCAGCGCAAACAGTTCCTACTGGTGCACCAAAGAAGTCCTTGACTGCTCGCTTGCTCATCTTTCATCAAGATTTGTCGTCTCGTATAGGTCCAGCTATGAAGCGGCCAATTCGTCTCCTAACACACCGACCCATCATCCAACTCATCGCTCTCGCAATGGCCGTGGATTTTGGCATATATACCCTTGTGTTGTCGACGTTCGCTTCGCTTTGGATTAAGCAATACCATCAAAACGAGACCGACGCTAGTTTGCACTACATCGCCATCGCTCTTGGTGCATTTGTTTGCGCACAAGCTGGCGGTCGTTTAATGGACCTGATGTGGCACAGAATGAAGTCAGCGAGACCAGATCGCGAGCCCACGCCCGAATGGCGAGTTCCATATATTCTTGTAGGGCTAATACCATGCGTTGCGGGAACATTCTGGTATGCGTGGTCAGCGGAAGAGCGCGTCCACTGGGCTGTCGTCGATGTGGGTGTTTTCTTCTTCACAGCAGGCAACTTTATGTTCTCACAGGGTTTATTGGCCTACAACGTTGACGAATTCACTAGCACGAGGGCTGCGAGTGCTAGTGCGGCTACTCGTCTTGGCACATATCTACTAGGTTTTGTGTTTCCCATCTTTGCACCAGAGCTGTATGAAAGGCTGGGTTATGGTTGGGGAAACAGTCTTCTTAGTTTCTTGTACGGCATCATAAGCATGGGTATCATTGTGGTTTTATGGATTTGGGGCGAGAAAATCAGAGCTATTGGGAGGACAGCAGAGGATAGCAAAGAAAGGGTATTGTAAGTGTTACATCCTAAGTCATAAAATCGCCACACTTATTAGGGGCTCTGGTAGACGGGAGTCGGACGGTAGTAGAGAAGAGGGGCAATAATTTCGACAATGGTCATAATGCCTGCACCAAATAACATAAAGCACAGCGCTTATCAATATGACTTATTGGCAATTATAAGCCTTAGGGTGAATACGATTGTGGCCTTGATAAAGGGCATTGAGAATCCGTATGTTACATTCGAGTCAAGCAAATACCCAGACGGCGAAAGTATCTTCCCAGCCCCAAGCCTTCGTTATTCTTTCCATACATCCTCGAATGTATATCTTAAGAACGATGATTATTGTCGGCAAAATGGAAAAGGTCAAAACGATAGCAATGATATCCACGGCAAGCTGTTCAATCTTTATAGGAGGCTGAGCGTAGGCTTGTTGTCGGAGCGGCTCACCCTGCTCAATAGTTGTTAGATTGTACGTACCTCCGGTCTTTACAGACATTATAGTCACGAAAGCTGGGAGAAAGGTGTCAGAATGAGCGATAACAACAATGCACAAAGCAGGCACAAGCTCGTTTTGAGAGTCAAGCCTACCTCCGCAAGTTTGCTGTATGGACTATTACGAAATACAAGTACGCAGCTTTTCTCTAGAATAACAAGGATATGCCCTGGAGCTACTGATATCGAAGAATTCAAAGAATGCTTGCGGAAAGCGTGGGCAACAATTACACAGGAGGAAATTCGGGACCTGATTGACTCAATGCCGCGCCGGCTCGCGGCTGTAATAAAGGCAAATAGGTGGTATACTAAATATTAATCTACATTAAAATACCTTTCAAATAGTATAGATACTTGATTTTTCCTACTAAAATTGGTTGAGATATATGTATTTTTATTGTTGTGTTGTAATTCAGGGTAGGCCCAAAAACCGTTTGTACCCAGGCTTTTGACACCCCACTGTAGATGCAGCTGTTGGCATCCTCACTAATACTGTACTACTAACATTACTATATTACAATAATGTATGATTCATACAAAGGAAAAATAACAGTTAATATTTTTGTCTAAAAAAAGGATTTACATATTTATGAATATAACTATCGAATACTCAATTAGGCATAATATTTAAATATATACTTGTATAGTTTTGGTTTTAGTGAGAATGCAAGGGAGCCTTGACAAACACTTTGTTGTATGCATTTCATATCAACTAAAGACATTGAACAGGTAAGGATAACAATCCTGTCCCCAGTTAAACTAGCATCCGTTTCTTAAATGAAGAAAATCAGAATTGGATTTTCTATTTGGGTATCGTATACTGCACACACGGCCGATAAGCCAAAGAGGACGCAAACCTGTCAAAGTATCGGGCTTATGAACTGAACCACATGCAGGAGAGAATCCGTCCTAAACATGGGCGCCATGTCCGTTCACCCACACCCTTTAAATGCCGCTACCATCCGGGATGTGGACGGTTCTCCCTTAAATCGGGCGGAGTTTATAACAATGCCCGCAAAGCCCGATCATACACTCAGGGATCAGTCGAAGGCAATATAAAACACCAACGCCTCTGCGTGATGGCGTGGGCGACATACCTTCAATTATACATGCGGAATCTTGTATCCTTTCCAACAGATCCTATCTATGGCGCCCAGATTGCGTGTGATCGCGGTGCTCTTGGTTCTCCAATTCATCTCTGTTCTACCTAATTCCGTCAGCGCAAAAGATGTCATATCACCATGGAATGATACCGCGACAGGTTTCGGACCAGATCTCGGTCTCGCTGAGACCTGGAACGCCTCCTTTCCGCTATTTGAAAGCATAAAGTCTTTACCAACCAACAACAGTGGTGCGGCTGGCAGCGACGGGAGCAACACAGGCGTCGACCTCAAGCACAGAGCTACCAAGGACTTCTGTCTTAGGTTCATGCCCCTAGATGCCTCTATCACGCAGGGAATATATTTGTCGGACAACAATGGCTACAAAAAGTCGATACAAGAGCAGCAGCGGTGGCAGGGTTTGCAAGTGAACAGTGAGGGATCCATGATTCCAACTGGCGTCAATGCTGTCGTGAATCGCCCTCTGGCCCAGCGCCAGCTTATGGTGGGTGGCCTGGTGAACTGGATGTACCCGAAGGCCCACGCCATATGGGGTGTTGGAGTATATATTCATCAGTGTCCTGCTTCCCGTTGTCAGTAGACGTATATTACAGATGTACTAATTGTTTCACAGTTGTCGTATGCCTACGGCTGGCTTTACAGCCGCCAATGGGCACGCGCCCATTAGTGTCTGGTTTTTCGGTTTTTTCTTCCTCTTTCCGTTTTCTTATCTTTCCTTTTTTTTTTGTTTTACGTATTAATATATTACTCTATTTAATCTGGTCTTATGAACTGGCTTCCTCTCTCTGCTGAACATATTGAAGTAGTCATCTCTACTACAGGCCGAAAGTAGCACTACTCAGCGGTTGGTATATGAAGTATCAACCTACACGGACATGGAGTTAGAAGATTGAACAAAGCCACTGGAACTCTGACCTTGTGACATAACGATGTATGTAGCATCTGGAGGAGACACTGCTTTTCCCTTTTTCAAACTTTCTCTAGCGTTCGAAGCGAGTGTCGGTGCCAGCTCACGAGACGAGGTCTTAACTTAAATATAAAGGAGCAGAGTAAGTGCTCTCTAATGATAACAAAATACGATGCAGCCACCAAGAACCTCAAATTCAGCAACCAGGGCGTGAAGTCGGGAAGTGCCAGCTGTAACCTAGGATGGGGCGTTGGCATCTTCCACCGCGACATGCGGCTTGTCGATATCGAGTATGAGCAACCAACACCGTCCCTCTTGGATCTATAGCTGATGAACATTCTAGTGGCGACGCTCGCGCGGATATCCTCTGCTTGGAACCTGATGGCTGAATACAGCAGCGGGGCTCCAAAATGTTGGCCAGGTCAAGTTCAGTGAAGGTTGGGGCCGGACCAACATCCGCTTCGCGGATGTGGAGGCTTCAGGCCGGGCCGACCTCATCCACCTTGACGAGTACGCGGGTGCCGAGACGTTATTCAAGAACCACGGGTACCGGCCCAATGACATTGCCGCAAATGGGGGGAGCTCATTCCACTGGACTAACCGCGGCGACGTGCTCTCACAAATAGACCGCGGGAGAATATGGTATGTGATCTAACCATGTGCATATAACCAACGCTGTTCTGAACTAAAGACTCGCCCTGTAACACTTTGTGAATTTCGGGGGTCTCAAGCGGGCGGACCTTCACCATGTTTGGCCTAACAAGAATAATGTAAGCCGAACAAGACTCAGGAGCGCCGCCATTTCCATCCAGGCACGGAGAGAATCTGACTGAGCGATTGGCAGACCGAGGCCTTTTTCAACGAGTGCCCTGGGTGAGGCAGTGGAGGTGACGATGGCCCTATTGGTGAGTTACTTTGCCCTTAACATAGCAGTGTATTATTCTTACTGTACCTAACTAAAAGATATATATTTAGTCGATCCAGGACTCCCAGCCTTGTAAAGTAGTAATTGTTTAGGGTAATGAATTTACTATATAAAATGCTATATGTCATTTACAGCAGCAGGGTAATAAACCAGACACTAGATAGTTAGTATAAGATAAATCCCCAAGGGATAAACCTACAATAAGCTTTGCATGTTTATGTTTGCAGATAGGTTAAGGAACATCTATAGGTAATATAAATAATATAAGAATAGCTTATCCAGTATCCGAGCAGGTGTATTTGCTATCCCACAAAAAAAAAAAAAAAAAAAAAGCTAGGTTTATAGAAAGCAGTTCTTATACATTTAGCTTCTAAAATATAGCGCTTAGCCACTAATGTATAGCGCTTATCCACTATAATATAGCGATTATGTACTATACTACAGCGCTTTTACCTATAATACAGCACTTACCCACTCTATAATAGTATCGTGTCTAGACAAAAGTCTAAAACCATTCTATAGTATCCCAGCTAGAGTTAATAATTAATAACTAATAAAACTATTAGTGTACATTATAGGTACTTAAAAGATTTAAGAATAATTAAGTACCTAAAATATAATAAATATATAAATGTATTTTCTTATTATATATAAGTTTAATATAGCTATTAGTACTTTAAGTAAATATATTTTATAATATTTATATTGTAGTAAGCAATATTATAACAATAGTATTATACTAAAAAGTCTCTATACTAACAATTAGATTTCATATATAGCTATTTATATATTAAAATTAATTTATTTTAACGAGGCTTCGCAGCCTGCCTTCTACATAAAGAAGGAAGCTGCGGAGAATCGTTAGACCGAGTGAAGCTTGTAGTATAAGAGGAAGAAGCTCTTTTGTTTTAGATAGAAAAACAACACACGTTCGTTATATAAAATGACCCCTAGCTGTGATAATGGGCTCGTTCCAACGGGAACGAAGCCGTGTTGGCTTGATCAAATGGTTCCGTGACGTATTCTCGCCCTGTGGCCTTAATAGCGGTATAACAAGCTGGGTTTCCGTGGTTATATTTATATATAGGTGAGCCAGTTCAGAGGTATGTTCCCGACTTGTCAATAAATTATATTATTAATAAAGCTTGAAATATAGAAGTTGTTATTTAAGTTATTTAAATAAGCAAATAGGCAAATAGGCATAGAGGAGTATACTCTTATATGTAGTTAGTCAAGACAGGACTTAAGAGATACTGTAACAGGACAGGGTAACCGAGGTACCCGGTACTTTACGGGGTAGTAGGACTACACCGCTACTTCCCCTCTTTCCCTAGGTATATATAGCCTTTCAGGTGCTCTTTAGAAAAGGATCCTTAAGTTGAAGTTAATATACTTCTGTACCCCTATCTAGCCGCTGACCCCCTTACTGATACTATTTAATTCTCTCTAGGATTGTTATATAATATATTAATCCTGTACTAGATCGGTTACTTGACCTTTTATTTATGCTGAATTACCTATTGGGATTATAGTTAATCTAGCCGTACCTACCCTGTAGGTGTAGTACTGCAATTTCACGACGTAGTTTATAATAAATACATAAAGTATACTTTATTTTATATAGTAAATTTTAATTTATTATAAATTATAAAAAAAATAGTAAATATATACAAGTAGTGGTTTTAAATTATAATTTCCTTTTCAACTATATTTTATATTTATGCACATATATTTTAGGACATCATGTCCTACAACAACTTACATGGGTAATATAAGTTTATTAGCTGCACAATAGTTATTAGTTACAAACTGTTAATATAAAATAAGGTAGTTTATGTATACTATATCTCCTACAGGTCCGGCTGAACTATTGATCCTAACTTCCTTCCCTGTAGGGATGGTGTAACGATCCGTTATACCGTTAAGCCAACAGGGCAAAAGATTAGGCCAATAACCACTATTGTAGCAGTTACTGTAACGGAACCAGCTGCTTATAAGGGATCTATCTGTTACAGTGAACCAGGTTGTAACAGATGGTGGGCTGTAAAGCCTGGTTAAAGTGACAGTAAAGAGAAGGTTTAAAGAATATAGGCCACTAGTGTTGTGTTGCTAATATGCTAATATGCATTAAGGTGCCTGGTCTTTGCTCAAAAGTCTCCATGGTGTGTGGGCGGTAAATAAACCAATGTCTCATTAGAGTGGAGACCAACATAAAAACTGACATGGTTTCCCTTCAGCTCTCTCCCCAGGCAGGCCCAGTAGCCAAAGAACTCCACACAAGCGAGCTTTCCCAGGCAAACAATTTTTCCAAATAAATTATCTTCATAGTCGCCTAACTTAGACATCCAATACTCAAAGACCTAATGCCTACATCGTTCTTACCTAAGTAGTGAAAGATGGTCCCCAAGTACTACGCTCTTGCCAGCAATCTCCTTGCTTCCTTAAGTCTCGGAGCCTTGCTTGGATTGGGGGTTTATGTTACCAAAAACACATTGGTCATCGGGGGTAGCCCTACGCCCGGCTTCAGAGTCATTCACATCGACCAGAACTCATGGAATGTTGGCTGTACTATCGTTGGGACGGCTGTGGGCATTCTGGCAATCCTGGGCTACTCACAACACGACAATTTCTTAACGCGACAAGGGATCATGTCTGACCAGGGTGTTGTCGCGCTCTACCTCAGGCCGCTGACGGTATCGAGATCAGTGGCCCAGGTAATTCGCGGCCAGTTAATAACGACACGGATACTCCTCGCCCTACTCACCATCGTCTCTACCCTCTCCAGTGCCGCGACTGTGGCTATCTTCGGCGTCCACAACATAGATATAAAATTGACCAATCCCGTCCCGTCATTTCCACTGGCATCGTATAACGACACTTTCTTTGAGACGAGCACCGACGGATACTACCCCACTGTGCCTCTTGATGAGATTAACTTACCGGAGCTGGAGGCGTTTCTCTACAGAGCCGCTTATATCGGGGCTGCAACTACCAACGATCCAGGCGGTTTCAATCAATTTAGCACAGCCTGGATATCGCCATCAGGTGCAATCGGAGATACTTCTTATTCAAGTCTCAATACTGGCGGAATCGGACTCAACATGACTTCTTATTTTGACTTCTCCGGCTACCCCAGCCGTTTTCACATGCCTTCCGCATACACCTTTAATGACCTCTCAGGGGTCGTCTATGGCACTCATGTCAATGTTGTCTGTGTCAATTCCACCGCCAACTACGATCTTGACTACAGCCGGCTCGATGACGATATAGCGGTTTTCAAGATCAGTAACCATCGTAATGTTAATTTTCAGATAGTTCAGGACACCAAGTCTCCCAATGATCAACTCCTCATCGGCGCCGCCGTCTCAGGCACATCAACCACAGATCCAATACTCACGATAGCAGTGCCGGTAGAACTCGGAGAAACATTCATCTGTGACTGTACCTACTCTGGGCGTGAATACATGGCTTCTATTATCGTGTCATCCCGTCTGTCACCGCTGGAAGTTGTGGCGGAGGTGAATCAGGGGCCATTTATCGGCCTTGATGTCAAGTGGCTATTAGCACGCACCGCCACGAACTTTTTACGAAAACCTGGTGGAGGTAGTCTTATCAGCGCTTGGACGTCGACATCCTGGAATAATGGTGGTGACAACAATACAGATACTGCAGCACTGTTGTCTACCATTCTGTCGCAGACTGGAGAGGCGCAACTAAGTCTTTTGAGACAGACTGCTGAGAGATCTAATACAGATACCCAGTCTTATAAGCCTCACTCCAGCTCGGTCACCATGTCTGTCAGGATCACAATGATTGGAAGTGGTCAGTACGGGTGGCTTAGCCTATATGCCCTGCTTCTGGTTGGGGCATTGCTGGGGCTGATACGGACATTGTCCAGATTCGAGCCCGCTTCTCCGGATGTTCAGGATCCAGTAAAGGTCTTAGGACTAATGCTCAACAACGACACAATCAATGACAAAACCAGACTAAAGATTGATGAAAAGATTGAAGTTCTTTGTTCAAGCCATCTATAAACGAGGAACTAGGAGGGCAGATGAGGGTTGGCAGTAGGCATATAGGGCCGTTAGGTTATGTACGCAAACAATTCAACACTTGGTTTGATTACCGGAGATCTAAGATAGTCCTCTAGCAAGTATTAAAGGCCTTGACTCCTCGGTTTCTCTATTTCGGTTTTGTGGTACTTGGTTTTGTTCATATCCTTATAAAATTAGGGTAGGATGGGTGATAAAAAGGCCGCCATATGCTTCCATTAGCCACAAGAACCGCCCGACACATGGGTGTTATGGAACCAAAACTAGTTTAATAACCCCTATACTCCTTAGCGCAGGAACTGCTGCGGCGGCCTCTATTTGTCATTGGCTGCGCACTGGTAACCTCTTTTGGCTAAGCAACATATGGGTTTCTTTTGTTCACGATGTAGGCGATAACTGCGATACGTTCCGACAACCATGCTTCCCCATTAAACTTAAAAGACAAGCTAGGTTTATGATCACTGTGCCTCTGCATGGCTAATCTGCGTATAAAGCCTATGCTGCAGACTTATCGCCACCAAAAGCGTAAACTGCATGCTACTGTGTGTATATGAATTTGCGAATTTTGCCTTATGTATGATGTTTTTACTGTCCTTACTGCCATTGTCGTCACTCTATTTGGACTCAAATACCGAGGTATGTACCGATAAAGCTGCAGCGATGCTTACTGCAATAAGTTAAAAGGGTAAGCAAGGCGCACGTTTACTTGATTGAGATAGACGACATAGCTCCGTCCTCGAATTCCGCATTGGCTCACTCCAGCTTGGTGGCCCCTACGGAGATCAGCTGCATGTGGGAGAAGCGCCGCCAACAGCTTGTGCGGAGCTAGTCTTTTCGCGCGCACCGATAAGATCGCTCTCCTTTATTGACGATCAAGTGTTTACTACATGATACTTCAAGACCGTGTTGTGATTAAGAGATATTTTGCCCCGAAGATCGAAGATGGCGCACGGCAACTCAAGCAATCCTATACCACGGGCTGCTTTTGGTAATGGCTTGCCAGAAAGCGCTGCACCCAGTCTGGGGATATCCCGTCCAATCCTTGTCCTCATTCTACTTCACCATCTGCCTCTAATCCTATGTCCTCTACCTCCCTTAAAGCGCAAGATGTTACCACGGAAGAGAATAGGACCATATGCAACAATCTTTAGCCGCTAGAATACAAACTTCCGCATGGTTACTATTATAAAAGAAATTCTTGATCTTGTGTGACTTTAGAGCATTCCATTGAAGCACTAACTGTGCTACGCAATACATATCTAGCCCTCGTTAATGCTAGCTCCCTAAGGTAGTGCCTAACACTAATTGGTTTTGATAGATCACGCGCCAGGATCGCCTTGTACTCTTTAAATTTTGGGTCAGGTACCCGCAGCCCCTTGAAAGTAATGCCTTCGAAGTTTGCGTATTATGGGTGACAAATTTGGGAAAGCCTGATAGTTACGAGCTCTAGTGTTGATGTTGCTACTACTAAGCCATGTGGACTTACTCTCTAGAGCCCTCAATACTTTGCCCATCAGGCTGTAAAAGCACTACAAATCTAGGCTTGGAATAGTACAGTTCAATTGCGTTGAATTGTTCTATTGGAGGCTCCTGCAGTCGTCCGAAACGTAAGTCGCCATAGTAGCGGTAGCCCTTCAGAAGGGTTCTTTAGCGTCTGGCGGAAGAGTGCATAGTTGAAAGTATTTTGCGATGTCCTGCATTATGTTTCGATATCCTTCGTTTGTTCCCCATGCTTCGCGGATTTTCTGGATACTCGGACGGACAGCATTCATCCGACGAGTCTCATGATCTCCTACAAAGGCTGTCTTGAGGCTGACTTAGCCCGGCAAGGGCTCGAAGAATCGCGACTTGAACCGATTGGAAGATGGATGCACTCGGATTGTAGAGGACGGTATGTGGGAGTAAATCAAAGAGACTCTAAGGCAATAGAGTGAATAGCGCACGTAGAATCTTAATATGGTTTTGGCAATTGATTTGTGCACACGACTACAATGCTGCCATCAAATCCTGCTTCCCAGACACTAGGGCAGTGTCAAATGAGCATCCCGGGCCAGAATGTGAGATGAGGCGGGTGCAAACCTAGGGTCTAGAGTTACCCAACTAATCGACCGTCATCCAAACTAGTGGAAATTCAATTTCCTAATGATAAACCTCATTGATAAGAATTACCAGTCGCATGACGCTTTAGTAGGGCCCTACCACCTCTTCGACCTGAAGTACTATAGTTGTTAAATAAAAAGTGTATTGAAAATATTATTGAATCTGCTTTTAATTTTACTCCTTAAAATATTATTTCTACCATTTACTACACTGGCCAGCTAGAAAGGAATAGCCTGCAAGAAATCCGCCTGGTCCATGAAGCCAAAAAGCGGATCGAAGTCAAAATTCGCATCCGTAAACAGGCTATCAATTCGATTGTCAGTGGTAAAAGCTGCAGGATTGACCTGCCCACATAAGTCATCGTTGTTGAATGTAGATGATGAACTGCCTATATAGGAATGAAAGGTCGGAGTATTTGTTGACCCCGCAGCTGCCGCCACTCTCACGGTGTTGATATTGTGTTGAGAGAGAGGAGACTTTAAAGAAACTTTATTAAGAGCATCTTTATTCAGCTGGCATCCGGCATACATTTCCAAAGCTCCACTGCCGTATGGTGAGCACGATTGACCGTCACTGTCGCGGGTACCGATAAACGCGTCTCCAACATCCACGTTTAGGCGCCGCATCAACCTTGCTAATATGTCCATTGAGCGCCTCGGTGCGCGAGAAGTTCTTTGATGCTCAGACAATATCTCGAGACAGTTCTGGAGACGCTTGTACGCTTCTGAGGCCGGAGACCTTTCTGCCGCTATGCGTACGTGAATCGTTGCGCTCACGTAGGTTGCGTACGACACAAAATACGGAGGAGATTTCATGCACCAGTGTTTCTTGTAGCGGCGAAGCATAGTATCAATGTTTGATGCTGCATTTTCGCATAGGGAAGAGGCGTGATAGGTAGATGAACGAGTTGTAGAGGAGAGGTGACCTTCGGAGACGAAAGGGCGGTGCAGCAGTATGACTAACGCGTAAAACATTAATCTAATGAATGTTAGATATGAAAGAAAATCACAAGTAGACTTAGCAGGTACTGACATCAGAGATAGTGTATGAGGAAGAGCCATTGTATCGGCCGTAGTTTTAGTATCAAAATGAATCTTTAAATGTTCCGGTGATGATTCCCGCCATTGAATCAATTGAGCATGCAAAGCCAGAGACGTTTTATATAACTCATCATTGTCCTTACGCAAGCTCTCCTCTGTATACAAACTGGCAAGGATGCGATCAGCAATGCCGCTCAACATACAGAGATGCACAAATGTCGACCCGCTGTGCGTAGGTAAATCGAGTGTTCGAGCAACTTCAGAGTAGCCGACGGTATTGAAGGGCTCAAGCTCTTCGTACTCGTCAAGAAAGAGCATGGGGACACTGCAGTCCATGTCACGGAGACGAGCGGGGCGACCTTGATAAATGGACTGAACCTTGTCCAGGACTGGATTGATGAATTAGACAAATCGTTCAAAAATGAGATAGGGAAGTCATACCGAAGGCAGACCAGAATACTCTACGTCGTATCTCTACGTCCTCTGGTGAAAGCGCCTTTTGAAACGTAAGCGTCGAGATCTCAGAATGAATGCCCAGATCGATTATCATATTCGTAGCAATACCCAAATAGTGCCATGAAAGACTCCTCTCATCACACCATGAAAACAGCGCATCTGACATGAGAAGCAGCGCCTGAATCGTCGGAATGCTGCTCTTGCACAAAACTTTCGTCTCACGACCAAACAATAAATCCTCGGCGTTTTGACGAAACTGCCGGCCAGGATTGCAGTTGTCAGAGCCATCACATGTGCCGCTGACCCCGGGCATATTCTCAGAAGTGTGAAAGAATATCGAGTTTAAAAGTAGGGGGGAAAAGTATCTTCCTTGGCATGCCATGTCGCGCATGAAAGACGGCCGATAGATGATGGATCCCATGGCATGTTGGCGGTTCCAGAAGACCGAGAGGAGGCTCATGCCCAGAGACGGTTCGATGTCGACAAAACATAATTTTTTGGAGCGGAAATTAATGTGCTCGAGTTGACCTAGATTGAATCAATGCAACTATTCCGACAGATATGAGTGCAACGAGGAGCAACCTACGCTGCTTGGCGGCCTCCGCTAATAATTGCGTTTTTATGGACACATCTACCTGACTGGCTGCGCTTGCCTCCCTTGTAGTCGGATATTGCCCATCAGATATGGCGCTCGTTAGTCCGTTAAAGCCCAGCTTGCTTGATTCCGCATCTTCAAGCTCGTCCAAAGCTATATTGTGAGCTTTGTCACGCGACAGCGGCGTAGAAGTGTCTGGCTCTTTGGGCGACAATCTCTCGGAGCGCACGGAACCTTCCAAACTAGGAATATCCACGCGAATCTGCTCTTCCCTGATCTTCCTTTGCTCAGCCGCGGACCTTAAAGCTTTTATTTCTTGACGAAGCCTTGCATTCTCTTCTTCCAATTTGCAGATTCGTAAGTTTGAAGGCCTACGTTAAATCAGCACGTGCAGGTCAAGAACTAATTGTAAAGCTGAAGGGTTGCTATATACCTTTCTTTTGTCGCTCGCGCTGTATACCTACACGATCTTCTATGCGCCGTGCAGTTTCTACAATGAGGCTTTGCATTATCGCAGCCCAGCCAGACTTGTTAAACTTCCATAGAGCATTGACGAGGAACGAGGTTTGTACCTTTCTGTATCTACAAAAGTCGCAGGCCACGTCAGCCCGCTGTTTTCTCCTCTGGGGTCTGATAGAGCCCGGACTTGACATAATTGGCATTTATACCGCCACGAATTTATAGGTTTAATGAATCAAGATTTAAGCTAAGTGGTGCACGATTGAAGAGTCATGTTGAGCAGGAAAAAGCGCAGGCGAGGGAACATCATGTTCCGTGGCAAAGTGGGTCTTGGTTGTAAGATTGACGCGCACGGATGAATTGGAGAGTCATGGTTGCTAAGCGAACATCTGATTATAACGATATCACTAGGCATGGGGTGTAAGCTGTCTGATGACTTTGCCGTGCACGGGAGTATTGGCCAACTCGCCTTCGTATTCGTTGTATAACATAGCAATAAGTGGCGTGTGGTAGTATACCTTGGTAGCCGGGAGTCTCCTCTCCTGACAAGACTAACCGGAAGACAGTTTTCAGCTTTAGTAATCGGCCAGAACCAGAACCCCCGTGGCGAATTGGTCGGAGCATCGTAAGTCCCAAAAAGCCCAACGAGTAAGAAGAGATACTCAAAAGGTCAATGGATACCAACAATATTATTATATTGACCTTGTAGTGATCTAAGAGACCCACTGCGGATGTACATGATAAGCTTACAAATACCCTTATGTACTCGATAAGCTGTGAAGCGTGTTTACTATGTATAACACAATCTTGACCTTTGATCGAAATTAATATTAAAACCGCCAGAAAAAAAAAAGGTTACCGAGTAATAACACTCAGCCCAAGAGAGGACGTAGCGTCTCGGCCGACCGCCGCATCAACCCAGTATAGTATGCATCTGACAGCACTCCTGACCCATGGTCAATAATGAATTGAAGTTGCCCCTCAGGCACTGTAATCTCTCCACTTTCCAGCTGCGTCGCACCAAAATTTCCTATTGGTGTGCGATCGATTGGTGGCATACACTCTACTGCAAGAGCGCCATCATATCCCACCTTTCTCAGCTCAGTTATTATCCTCTGCCAATTAAAATTACCATCTCCCGCTGCAAGGCGGTTATGATTTGCAGCATGAAAATCAACAATGCGATGCTTGGCTTTCTGTAATGCTTCGTAGAGGTCTTTCTCTTCAAGCGCCAGGTGGAAGGGTCAAAGGTAATACCACAATCATGCCCCACTGCATCGGCGAGGGCGAGTGTTTGATCCACGCGATTGAGGAAGTACGTCTCAAACCTATTCAAAGGTTCAATTCCGACTCGGATGTTCTTTTCCTTAGCCAGTACGGCTACTTCACGCAACCCTTCCACTGCCCACTTCCATTCATTTTCCAGTGATGATGAAGGGAAAAGCTTGCCAACGCGAGCTGGGACGACAGTGACAATTGTGCCCCCTAGTTCAGCGGCCATTGAGACAACGTCCTTCATGTATTGGATAGTGGTTTTGCGATGTGCGGGATCGGCAGTGGTGAGGTCCCTAGTTCCATGTTGAAGAGTGACGGTACCCCAGCATTTAACATTGTATTCACATAAGAGCTGGCGAGTTTCCTCGATAGGGTAAAGAGAAGGTTCTCCCGCGAGCTCTACGCTCGTGTAGCCCAGTTCACTTATACGCTCGAGAGTACGCCGAAGGGATTCTGGGCGCATCCAAGTATGGGCGGAGAGATGCATCTTGAGTTTGAGAGGCAAGTAATAGTATAAGGTATTGCGAAAAGGTAGAGCACACATACGATGCGACGGCCTGCCTTTATATTTCGTTTATTTTGTAGCGGAACAAGAGACGCCGCCAGAGGAGGAGCAGAGACGGAAAGTGGAGATCCGTTTCTTTTTTTTTATTTTTTAAAAAAAAGGTCGGTAACCGCTGATGACTTGACGGATTATTATCTTCCGTCAACGATGTTTATAAAACAGTCGACTTCCACAATAATGCACTGAAAATAATCGTCGATACTCAATAATCAAAATACAATCTCCCTCTCTATATTTTATTTTCTACTATTGATTCTTGCACCAATTCATTAATACACTCTCATAATGGCAGTCCAGTGGCAAGACGATTCCATATTTAACCACTTCACTGTCTTCGAAGAGACGTGAGTTTCACCTATAAGGGTTTCAAACTGTTTCTGACAATAAACAGATTCAAGACCGTAGGCTCTCACAAGATAATGGCAGCTATCTTAATCCCGAAAGGCTTAGCCCCAGGCGTTCATCCTGCTATCTTCAACTTCCATGGCGGATTTCTCGTAAATGCGCATTCTCTATTTGCCCCGTTCTTTCCAATATGGTCTCTCAAACTAGCGTTGGAGAACAAAGCCATAATTGTGTCACCAGACTATCGTCTTCTTCCGTCCGAAAACGGTGTCGCGGATATCTTGGAGGACTTGGAAGACTTCTGGCAGTGGAGTCGCAACGATAACTTCGCCAAGATGCTGCAGAATCGCTCTCCTGAACACTCACTGGACGTTTCTCGTCTGCTTCTTACTGGTAGCTCAGCTGGTGGCTACGCCGCAATACAGCTGGCGTTAACGCACCCGGATGACATCCAAGCTGTAGCCACAGCATATCCGTTTGTGAATCCGAGAGATCCAATTATGTTATCCGGTCCCAGAGATGATGAACCGACTATCCTGCGTATGGCACGAGAAGAAATGCCATCAAAGACCTCTGTTCTAGACTGGATTGAGGAGAAAAAGAACACAGTGACGACTAAGGCTGGTTTTGAAAGGACCTTATTTGCGGCAGCTGCGGCACAGTACGGATTATATCACTCGAAAATCTTCGATCCTAGAGGTCTGAATCGACCAGAGTTTATTCCCATAGAGAGACTACAAGCTGGCGCTAGGCTGCCAAAGAAGATGTAAGTGACCAAAAGCCGGAAGGTCAATGCTTGAGTTTGACTAAATAACTTCCTAGCTGGATATTGCATGGGAATGCCGACAGCGTTGTACACTTGCGAACTACGCAGGAATTTGTCGATTTAATCCTTGAGAAGCTGCCTGATACTACGGTCAGGTTTGATGTAGCAGGCGGGGAAGATCACGCCTTTGATCACTTCAAAACGAGTTGGGAGTTGCATGCAATGGGGGCCCTTGACTTTGTGAAACGATCATGGCTAGAAGCTAGCTATTATTAAGAAGTTTGTTTGTAGTAGTATTATGTGCTCATAAGCTATTATTATTAATTAGATACATGTACGTAGTGATCGCAATGGTTTGGGTTGTTTGGTCTGGTCTCGCGATTTCTCAAGAACATGGGCGGATTAGTTGGACTAGTCAGACCATTAATTACTATAAACGATTAAGTTAAGAGGTATATGGCGACCAGAGGCTGAATTTCAGTCCAATATGGTCAGATCCTCTGCTCTTTGCGTTTTCTCCGAATGTTCTCTCTCCCCTGAAAAGGGGCAGTCATCTTATATCAGATTGAGTGGCCTACCGAGTAGATTGCTTGCGGGTCTTATGTAAAACTGTGCCTAAGTTGCAGGATCCAGCTCCATATTCAGAAAGAGCGTCGTGCTAGTGTTTTCACTGTAGCGTTGGGTACAAAAACTGTCTGGTCAGATAGACGTTATGCCGTCAAGCGCTCTCCAGTATAAAAGTATCTACTCTGAGCAAGATAATAAAGCTGAATGCCCAAAAATTCATGCAATCTGGCTCCTCCTATAGCCTGGAGTAGCAGTTCGACTTTACCATACCCATTCTCTCTAGCCCCCCATAAGCTTGTCTTTCTAGAACTACTCATCCAATCAACCTAGGCCCTTGTCTATCAACAGTTCAACAATCACCTCAAGTCCATTCAGAGCGCTCCACGAGAGCGGCATACGATTCTCATGACCATTAGAGCAAACCTCGGCGCCTTTGTCCGGTAACAGCTTGGCGATAGGTTCGTTGATATTCTCGGCAGTCCACGAGAGCGGCGTCGGACAATACTCGCTCTCCTTAGTTAACCTCGACACCGGAGCAATATGAGGTTTTCTTTTCTAATGCTTATTCTCATTGCCTCTAAAGATTTCATTCCATTGAGCTGGCCAGATAAAGCGCCATGGATATCTTAAAATATATACAAAAAATTCAAGCTCGTTAATACCAGGCTTTAAAAAGCAAAGCTGAATAAAAAATGCCATTGTCATAAGAACAATAAGGTATAACCTATTATTCATGATATTAAATGCATCTTCGTTGTCGTGGTTGTTTGTTGTTAGTATGTAGCAGCCCCAAACTAGCCCAAGTGCAATAAAGACAATGCCAGTAGTATTTGCTGCATGTGTAGCCTGTCGTACATTTCGTTCTGCAATATGGCGTTTCTTATCACAACTTGCGTAATAATTACCCAAGTAAAACTGGCCAACGACAATGACTGTTACAGTTTCCTTAAGAAAACCTATGGTCCCACGAAGCCACCCATCAAGGCGTATAAAATTATAGTATCCGTGAAGGAGTGTAAGTAAAATTAGAAAAACGTATTGGCGGTAAATGACGTTTTGTTGTATTGCTTCTCGCATTGAATTGCCCATAATATATAACCTTTGACTTAGACTTTGTCAGATAAAATATCGAAGCAAGTAGAAGGCCAATAATATATTGCACCAAGAAAAGAAAGATGTAATTCTGGAAGTCGGCAGTCCAAGATTAGATTAGCTTTTAGTAGCTTATGATTATAATCTTGGGACCTGAAAGAGTGACTTGATGGGATTGAAGTCTGCTGGGGCAAAAACAGAATGAAAGGAATTATAGCGTCAGCGGGGGTGTCATATCCTTTATACTGCTATTAAAAGGCCCCACCACTTGAAATCACGTGGGTGACCAATTGCATGTGTGCAGCACAGCACAGAGTACCTACGGAGTGCTGTAATTATAGACAACTAAGTTATACCTTGCATACATTGAGGTATAGCACTATTGATATCTCTCTACACAACCTGTCCCTCGGACGGCTCTGATCGTTCTGAAACCATATTCTAATCTACCCCAGCTATTCTTCACAACCGTTAAAACCGATGAACTCTGGGCAGGTGTCAGTCGGGTTGGTTTCGTAGACGATAGCGCCACCCATAATATTAACCCTAGAACCATCCTGAATCGTGTAGAATTGCATTCTAGCTGCTCCGTTATCACCAGCCGCTCTGTTGATTTGGTAACCGAAGCTACCTTGTGCAGCGTCATTGGGTTTTGGACCTCCTGCACCACAAGGTGCAAACCCGGACAGTTTAGCACCGATATGTGGCCCGAGATGAAACCTTACTCCATAGAAACCATTAAAGTTGCCATTGTGGTTTGGGCACGCCTGGTCTGCCGAACGCTTCCTCTGCACTCCATGCTCCAAGTCAGGCGGTAACTGGTTCTGCAGTTCGTAGACAGGTTGGTTTGGATCCGCTTGACCCTGTAATAGTATGGCTCCATACCCTAATCCACCCGCCACAAAGGACCAACTAGCTTTCACGATTGCAGCGATGACCTTATCACCACATTCTTTACCGGTTGCAGTTCCATCCTTGGTAGCAGCACCATAGCAGTCATTCCAAACTGCTCGAATAGTGCTACCAGCATCGGAACTGAATGCTATGAACATTGCCCAGCCGCCAGCACGAATAAATTGGTTGGCAGCTAATATTTGCTGCGCACCACGACGATCCTGAGCCTGTTGGGTTGAATTGGCTAGCCAGTGTAGCAATTGATCCTCATCAACATTCTGGCCATGGTATTTCCAAATTTCTCTCATCTTTCCAATGGGCACAAGGCCCGGAGTAATATTGAACATTCGTTCCACCTCCATGGTCTGCATCTCTACAGCATTTGGCATTGCAAGAGCCGTGCCGACCTTACCACGGTTGGCATTCATGACAGCGAGTTCGTCATCGTTGGCCCAGCGTACTGCAGCGGCCGATATAGTTGCTGTAACAAGGAGATGTAAAAGCTTCATAGCTATCCAAGGTAACGTTATTAAAATACCGACAACAGGGTTCGAATTATAAGATTGTTGTTATGTGCTTTTGATTGGGGTATTGCAGAAAAATGAGCTTTCTTAAAGGAATTAAGCTGGGGGGTTTGAGAGGTGGTTGAATTTCTTGATAATCCAATAATCCAGTCCAACCTTGAAACAACGCTATCTATCTCTGGCATATTGCCGCCGTCTATGTCGTATTGCTGCGATAGCTTCCTTTGATATGCATTCCCTCTATGACCAACAACGACCCGGGGTGAATCCTTGCCTCGGTAACTTTCCGAAAACAATTGCCTACCATGTTTGTAGATGAGAAAACTAAGAATTAGCTTTGCTGCTTTTATTATATATCGCTACATGTGGAAGTAGCCGAAGACACACACAACCATCCTAAATATGGCCCAGGGGCAAATGCCATACTTGTGAGTAAATTAATTGTAGAACACGTAGGGTGTTACAGTTTCATTACTATTTTCAAGGATTCCTAGGCCTACTCCAGCAATGGCTAAGTCTCGTCGACTCTACAAGCCGTTTGGTGTTGGAAAAATAGTGCATTACTGCATTGCATAATGTAGCGAATTCTTCACGAAGCCTTAGGTTCTGTTATATTAATTAATGCTTCCTATTTTGTGGCCTAGAGTTTATCTGGTTTGGCCGACGGTCGCACCCGACTTTTAGAAGTATATAGCAATCAGTCGTTAATATTATCAATTCGGGATTTATTATGTATTAGTACCTTAATCTTATTATACAAATCTCCTCTTACAAGAAGAATGCTCTAATACATCAAATATATTTTATAGTTTTGTACCAGAAAGTTTGATCTGGATTCAATCTGGTTTATTGGCTTTGGCACAGCCACTCTATGCTGTATAAAACAAGGTTTCCCGGTGTTTCCAACTCATTCGGGCTAGACGGTCGATTTTCGCAGCCTTTTCTTCTATTTTTACTTCAATTCCACATTATTGTTCTAACTAAATATATGCTGCTGTTCTGTGCATACATATATGCATAGCATGAAAGAACTAAAATTATTAAGCTTAACTTGTAATTTATAATGCCTCAGAGCTAAGGAAATTTATATTAAATTTTTTTTAATCATATATTTATAAGTATGTTTACATAATGAATGATGATTAATTTCATAATACGGGATTTATTTAGATTGCTGTTGGTAATCGCATTTAAATATATGCATGAGGGATTTTCTGCCGTGATTGTTGGTGCTCAAAGCTTTGGGTATATATTCCTGGAGGATTCAATATTATGTGTTGGTACTTGGAATTTTTGATGCACGTACATGAGGGATTTAAAGTCATGTTTGTTGGTGCTCGTAGAGTTAGGCATATATTCCTGAAGGATTCAATATACATCATGTGTTGACGATTGTCGTTTTTCTGATGTACGTGCATGAGAGATTTACTGCCAAAATGATGGAACTTCCGGTATTTAATATATATCGCTGAAGGAGGAAATATGTATTGTATTTTCATATTTTTATCTTTCCATATGTATTAGTTATGCATATTTCTACAATGAATCTAGAATACCATATAGAGTACTCTTGTGGCCAAGCTGAGTAGCTCCTATTTTAACTATACGCTATTACTTGCTTTTTCTTTTTTCAGTATATCTTATTGGAGTCTTTTCGGGACTTTTAGAATTGAATTTTATGTTGGGGGGCGATACAGCAGCGGCTGAAAGGGAAAAAACATACACGTACTTGGGCATCATAAGAAACGTCAATCGTATGTCGCACTCGATTCCAGTCCCCCGTTCCAATGAGAATGCTCGAAATAGAGACGCTTAAGTTTTCGGCCCACACTATCCTATCTCTCCTCTAACTATCCACATAGATGGTTGGACCACTACGCCCGGATGCAAATCAGCATCGTTCTTCCATTCCGCCGTCTGCACTGGAAATTCCCTGCCTGTTGTCGCAGCAATGGTGTTTGTCTGCAGAGTATAAGTGTTCGCGTACCAAATTTCATGGAGCATTTCGTCACTAGAATAGAAGTAGCCGCCGTGGTTGCGGCGGTCCGACCAGGTTGGCGCATAAGAGATGTCAAGAGTAATGTTGGAGATGACAACTGAGATGGAAGAAGAGATTTCAGTGATTATGGTCAGGTAGCGAAAGCCGCCACGGAATTTGGCAGGCGTTATATACATACCAGTATATGTGGCAGTAATCTCGGCGGAGATGGCATCGTCGATGGTATCAAACAAATTCGAATCATCCGAGCATTGTCCCGTCCAGTTTCGTGCTTTAGAAACTGCTAACCCCAACGCCCCCCCCCTTAAGCAATGTATGCAACTGTGATGATCCCGGCAGCCTACTTTCCGAAGTCGCAGATGAGGGTGGTTCCATTCGCAGTGAGAGTTACAGGGTTGGTGGAAGGAAAGAATGAAATCTTATTGAAGCCGCTGGAATAAGGAGTTATGGGCGATGCGGTACAGGACGTCGGGGAGTAATTGTATTTTTTGCAGATGCCACTGAAAGACAGACCAGCTGGATTATAAGCACAATTCGAGTTTCCCCAGCACCCAGCCGCGGCCACCAATGCATGGGAAGAAAAGAGGTAGTAGGCAGCGAGAGGAAGAAGAGGGGGCATGCCTAGCTTAGATCGAGCACTAACAACCAAATACCAATAACCAATGGGCGATGAACGGATTTCTTGGTGTGTCTCTATAAAGAGAACTACTCTGTCGAAACAGGTTAAAAATATGCACTTATAGAGTAAATGAACCGTGTATATAACTCGATTAGTATCTGATGTATTTAGCTAGATGCTTGGCCTCAACCATCCCTATCCCGACCTTTCTACATTCCCGTAGTTCATCTCGACCGAAAATATTTAACCCTTACCCTACTAGTAGAAGGTCTTGGCTCCAATATTGGGCGGTTTTCGATAAATACATGGTGGGCCATAAAAGCACTCTTCGAAAGATGGATGTTCATGAAGTTCATTATTACGCCGAGGTACGCACAAGTAGGGCTAGCCCCTGAACTCTGACAGCGCTGAATCACAAACTATATGAATGCAAAAAGGAGCCTAGTTAAAGAGGCTCGGCATGGTGTATCATTACCCTGAGATGCACAATGCACACCAACCCCTGTTCACCCCGCGGAGGAATGCGGCGACCAGACTCTACTTTGCAGCACAACCCTCTTAGACGCCTACCTATTATCAGTGGGGAAAGGACCGGAATAAAGTCGACTGTTGGCTCATTTGGGTAATTTATGTGATAAGATCTATAAAAAATACACTTATATACGAAATCTTAATAGAATAAGACAAGGTATATGAAGATGTAACAAGATAATACTAAAATGAAGAACAAGGAGTTTTCGTGGCAACTCAACTATCAACAACCCATCAACCATCCCCCTTCTTCTTCTCTAGCAACCTTCAGTTTCATCAGTTGTCCTTAGCACTAGCAGCATAGAGGAACTCTTGGGGCGTGTCTGCTCCAAAAAAATGCTGTATGAACCAATGGCCCTTTTCAATTGCCTTGATTGCGCGAGGCAGCATTACTTTTTCGTAGTCCACTACAGCAGCTTCCAAGTTCTCAATTCCATGTTTGATAATCTGTTTAGCCAATTCAGCACTGTCGTTTAAAGCATTATTAACACCATCTCCGGTAGGTACACTAGAAAAGGTAATCCATTAGCTGTGCACGGTCACAAGTGTTGAACATCTTGGCCTTACGTCAAATGTGCCGCATCTCCAAGCAGTGTCAATCCAGGTGTATATTTCCAGGGCAAAGACGTCTTTGGTGTGGAGTACAAGGGCCAGGAGCGGAAATTTAGGGCGCTTGACTTTATGAATTTGGTAAGCTCTTGTGCCCATCCGACGAATTCATTTTGTAGCAATGACTCCCACAACGTCGAAGGGTCATGGAGAACGGCACCCCTCTTTACAGCCTGGCTGTCAATAAGTTTCACGCCCACAGAGAGGTGATAAGATCCATCACCTAGATAATGTAAAAATATATGTCGTCCTTTGCTCATGGCTAGGTAATTTCCTTTCCCTGCCAAAGACGCAGCCGAAGAGAAGGTTGGATTTCCAAGCCGGATGAATGTAGTAAAGAAGTGAGTCCCAGAGTACTGCGGCTCAATAAAGGTAACCTGTGAGCTTGATTAGTTACAGAAGCTGTCTAAATTGTTAATAGACTTGATGTGTGTTTTACCTGCTTCCTAACTTTGGACCAAGCCCCATCTGCACCCACAACAAGATGAAATCCAGATTCAACACTGCCATTTGTATGGACCGAGATAGATCCATCGATTTCTTTATGCACCTGCTGGACACGGCAGCCCCAACGAATTCTGCTAGCCGGAATAGAACGGAGGAGGAGGTTTCGCAAATCTTTGCGATCAATCTCTGGTTTATCTGTATTACTATCGCCAGGAATATGTGCCTGGACAATGCCTTGCGCATCAGCAATTTTGATCGGGACGTCATAGCGGGCGATGGATTGGAACTCTTCCAACAAGCCAGCTTCCTCTAAAGCAACCTGCCCGTCTTTATGAATATCAAGAGTACCACTGCTTGAAGATTCATTAGAGGACGTAGCTGATTCATCTCGCTCAAATACAACGTAATCGATGCCTGCAAGCTCCAGGAGTCGTGCAAGAGTGAGACCAGCAGGGCCGGCGCCAATGATAGCAATGGGTACTTGGGGTAGATTCATGATGAAGAAGCCCTGTGAGCAATTCCTAAGAAATAAATTTAGCTTTCCAAATATATGAGGGTTGAAACCTGCTTATATATCCCCACCGTCCTAGGCAGTGGCTACGATGATTGTTTCAGAATCCAGGAATAGGCTATGTATGTAGGTATACGTCGAAGCGGGTTACTTCAAAAAGCTTGTTTCCAAGTGAAGTTAGCGTCTCGGTGTTACATGTCTGATATTAGCAGCTGCCATGTATAACCTCCGTGGAATCGCCTCCCTTGTGCTCCGATCTCCAAAACTTCGGTTTCTGAAACAAACAGAATGGCGCCAGATGACGACAAGAGAACAGAAAGATATGCGTGCGACTCCACCAGGTTGAGCAAGATAATGCCAAACAACTCAATGTGTTGAGGCCACAATTTTAATGACCGTCCAAGCCAGTTGCTCCCGAGAGCTAAAAAAAGGAGCGCCACTCTAGGGTGATTCGTTAGGAATGCGAAAAACAAGAATAAGGCAACCAGGACTAGCCAACTCAACTTGGAGGCCTCTACCAACCACACTTCTATTGCGACTAGTACAAGAAGCAGCAGTAATAGTGGTGTGCAATGTCACCTAGCGGCCGATGTTAAAGCAGCTCGCGAGCAGCTAAGCAACATCAATGCCCCAGAGCAGCACAGATCCATTAACGGGCTTTCTTTTCTATCCGAAAACTGCCCGAGTATGGGCCTCCGACATGAAGCTGTAAGACTTGACACGGCTTGCAAGGGTTTTTCTCTGTTCGAGGAACATGCCATAGAATGGGTCGGAGGTAGGAACCCCTCGATTGGAACCTAATGCAAGATTCTAATGCAACTTCCCTACGACATTCGACAATATTCTTGGTAAGAGCTTGCCATTCATGATCACACCACCTCCCGGTGTAATGGATGATCTCAGAGCGGCTCATCCCCATCTGGTGCGTGGGAGGGCCAGTTTTACAGCATCATCCTTAATACAGTAACGTCCGTGGCCGTCAAAGGAAAGCTCCAAAGCAATTTCGGGCTTGCTCTCAGCGACGTGGGAGTTTTATTAGAACCGAGAGAAATCAACATTCAAGCAATGCTTCTAGCGCTGAGCCGGGCATATGGATTCGCAGGCCCGTCACTTTGCTGCATGCTTGCAACGAATGCTTGCAGGATACTGCAAGAGCTGGGAGTCAGCCAACGCTGGCTGGACCAACAGACTCCGGGGCGGCGCCTAACCAGAATTTGGCACCTGGACCTGCTGGATAAAAGTCTTACTATCATCTTTGGCAGAACTCCAACTTTTCACCGAGAGATGGTAGAGAGATTGGGCTACCTACTTTGTGACAAATTCAACTAGCTAGTTCTCACCTCACATCGACCGACATTCCTGGGGTCTTCGAAGCGCACTACACCTATCAAAAAAACCCACTCTTGCATTTACTGCATAGCATCTGGCACTGCCTCTACGACGAAGCGAAGCCAAACAATGAGAGCGTACAAGCGACAATCAAAGATTGATTTCTTGGTATGTACAACTACGGGAGCAATGCTTGGACTCTTCAAAACAAATGCTACATCTGCTCCAAAACATGGACCCGAATCCAAAGGGCCCTACCATCCCATTATCTGGCAGCTGATATGTTGTCTATTTACTCCTTTGCTCATTACTTCTTGTGACATCCTTTCGAGTGGCAAACAAAACTCGGAAAGAAATAAAGAAGCCTTGGCTGCTATGGAGCAACTCCCGGGCCACCTCAAGGATATAAGCTTGCGGGATTCGTTTGCAGCAAGCTTAGAGGGTATCGCAAAAGTTTTCGTACAGCACGCAAGATCAGTCATAGATTGCCCAGACTAGCTAATGCCAAACACTGATGACCTAGTAGCGCAGGCACCAACGTTCTAATTAAAAGATTTGCCGTACGACAGGGCATATGAGATGGATATCTTTCATCCCAACTTTGTAGTAATATTGCCTCGATGTTTCAGACTACTTTGCAGTTTGAGACCAGTGATGTCGATAGACAGCTCAACAATAATCTGGCTGCATTTACAAACAGGCTTGACGGCGATAGATTGTTCGAGTTTGTTGGACTATTTAATCCAGACTGGTAAGGCCAGCTACGAACCAATGAGTACAATTTGTGGAATTGACTGAATAAGGCTTACTAAGTTATTAATCAATAACTAGTTACAAATAGTTCATCAAATGCATTATAGAATTTAATTATTGAACCCCTTTTCTCTCATCTATACCAGCACCCCCTTACTTTACGCGAGCTAAAAGCTCTTATACAATTCCAAAATTTTCATTAACTGGAACCAATACTTAATAAAGGGTTTTGGTGAAAAATGCAATTGCTCTAGCCTTTATTTGCTATTGTTATCGTTGCGGAGAATGTCCTTGTAATTAATCCAACTGCTAACCCTTGATTGACATATTGGTACACCGACTTGAAGCATATCTCATATGGGAAGTGCTCTAATATATCTAATTGGTTCGAATGCTATATTTACAATAACACAATGTTCGACTTCTGTTTCTTGAGTAGTCTACAATAGAACAGCAAAGCGCCATGTGGATCCCGCTAATCACTCGGTGTTCTACCAAGCATGTTGTGGACATTGGTAGCTTTTTACCTTGTCTCTGTGTGCATCATTACCTTTCACTCTTGAAGAGCAAAATACTCTTTATAAAGCTATACCATAGCTCCTTGCCAAAAAAAAAAAAAAATTAAACTGAGCAAAAAAAGAACACGGCTCTGGATAACAGCAAGTCTAGGCCCGGCGCTTACAATAATCACCACTTTTCAAAGACTACAGCCTGTCGCCTCTCGGGCCGATTTACAATATATTCTATAACACAGCCCTGAAAGAGAGGCTTTCAGGAGAAAAACAGGTTCCTAAACGACGGCAGGAATTCGTTAGATTATAATGACCCGCAGCAGAGACAGGCTGCATTTACAAAAGACCTCCAGCCTGTGAACTTCACCAGCATATAATTATAATAAAAATGCATCAGTGTCATGACGCAGGACGCCGATTCCTTTACATGCAACCAGCAGAAGCTGGGTATACTCATCTTCTAAGTCCGAGGTGGACATGTAACCCTGTTCCCATAGACCAAGGAGCTCTTTGTATGAGAGCCTCGAATCATAACCTGCTTGGGAGTCCAAGGGTGTGAAGTAGTGGGAAGGGTAGCTCTTTCCGGTTCCAAAATCATGTCTCTGTCCTCTCACACTTGCAGGAACAGATACCGTTAAAGACTCGAGTTCTGATATTAGAGGGCAAATCCCATATGTAACTACCGCATAGGTAGCTCGTACGAAGTATGACATGAGAATAGTACGATGCGCACTTTCAAGCTCAGCTTCTCTGAGTGGACCAGAGTCAAAGCTGCAATTATCAAGCTGGATACATGGCTCATTTGTACATACCCAAGCGCTCTGCTCTGGTCTTAATAGTGCTGACAAGCTCGAAACTGAGCGGTTCGGTATATTCTCATCCATTGTACAGTACAATTTATGTAACTGCTCTTGCAACGATGTTGTCCAAGCTGCTAGCAATGGCTCATGTTGTACGGCTTGACGCCTCTGTGTGGCATCACTGCCAAAAGATCTCATGATATGGTACAACGTCATAGCTTGCACCCGAGCAAGTTGTTCCCTGAAGAGCTGTAAATCATTCGTCGGAGTAGAACAATTCTTGACATTATCGGATGTTGATAGCTCAGTTACCCATAGTGTTATCCCTTGTGGCACATGCCAAATCAGATTGTCTATCTCAGCTTCAATAAGCTTATCAAGAACCACGCGACTTGACCCAGTTAAAGTATTGTGAGCGGCGCATACTCCTAGTGCAGCCGTTAGAGGGGCTTGTAGTTTGTACGGCATGATGAAGTCGGTGGATGCAGTCTTGGCAAATGTGCCAATGTAGGAAATCATTTTGTTGGCGCAGAATGTCCATCTGTTTGCGTCATGCAACATAGGCACAAAGCAGAAGTCAGCCAGCACCGACTGATTTTGTTGCATACAGGTACGTTGACATGAGGATAGGCGTAAGTTGACTGCTTCAGATGTGCTGCGGTGATCCCATACTCTTGGCTGATTGTCCTGAAGAATGAAAGTATGCCCGGTTCTAGCATTCTCTTTGAAGACAGGATGGAAGTGGTTGGCCAGGGTGCTGCTTTGCGACGTTTCCTCCAGGTATTTCAAGTCCTCTGTGCCCAAATGCGAAATGGGGAGTCCTGTTGTATGCGGCACTGTCGTAAAGTCCAATTCAGGACTTTGTTTGTCCCAGGAGCTATCCCATTCAAAGCTGTCGAAGGTGAAATCGGAGACAAGCGTTTTGTTACAGGACAAGACTGAACGATCTGAGATACCTATTTGGGGCCCAAGTTTAACTCCCGCAGACGAGAATGGGTATTGACAAGTTAGACGCTGCTTGGCGCAGCGATTGCATGCTGGCTGCGACTGATCACAACGTCGCTTTGAGGCGACGCAGGCGGCACACGCCTTTTTTCGGAGAGACATTGAATGGTGACGTCTAATTCTCTAGTGAATAGACAGTGAAAATATTCAATCAGGCCAGAAAATCCCGGAAGAAATAGAGGTGCCACGGCGACCGAGGGCAGATTCCACTGGCTTTGCATTACTAATTTAAAATCCCCGTGGCTCCGCTCAACTGATCAACTACCTACAACCCACTCAATTAGCGAAAATACTTTTGTTGCGGCCTGCGTGGTCGTACGAATACGAGCTCCCCGCACTTTGCAGTGTCTTTACGTGGGTGCGCAGTACAGTTTATATTGTACGCGCATACCAGCTTCAATGCAGGCTACATGTACTTGTTGAACCTTCTGTCTACCTATTACGGTGTGACTGCTGGCGGCTGTATCCAGTAGGTACTCTAAGCCGTAAGCTCCGATTCTCTATATTTGTCTTCCAATATCTACATGGAGTTAATTCATCTTAGCAAACGCAGTTCGCGTGTCCCTAAGCCCAATAATGCCAAGGTCTTCCTTGGAGAGGACAACGTCTTCGCCTGAGAAACTACTCTCCTTAGCCCACTCAAGGTACTCATGCATCTTGACCATCGCTCTACCCCATTGCGGCCACAGGTTATAATATGTCTCTTTGTCTACCTGCACGTACTCTGCTTCAACGCCATGTGCCGATGCCCACGTCGCAAGCATCTCTCCAGCCGTCATAATGTCGGTGACGCCGTAGACAAATTTGCCGCCAAGAGTCTTGCCAGGTTGCTCGATGATTGCACGCACGAAGAGTCCAATATTTACAGTTGCATCGCCAACAAGCGGGAATTGCACAGATGCTGGAGTTGGTTGGATCTGGATGTACCGGGGTTTCCCGGCTGTTGGAATCGGAAACGGTTGATAGAATGGGTAGTTCATATTTGAAGCGTAAGTGGAGACCCAGAGGAATGTCGTCAGTTGGAGGAGCGCCGAGTCCGCTTTAATAAAGTCGTTGACCCTGTTCTTGCTCACGAAATGAGGGACAGCAAACTGGCCACCGCTGATGCGGCCAGCATCGGGAAGAGTCGACCAGACAAAGTGCTCTAGGGTTGGTGTCGCAGCTGCAGCTTTGGCAATGTTGATGCCTTGTCTTGTCTCAATTTCGATGGCTTCTTCGTTACCGCGCTTGACGAACAGCTCAAAGAAATTGGTGGAGGCAAAAATGATGGACGTGCCAGCAAACGCAACCTGGAGGGAGGCGACATCATCGAGATCAGCCTCAATGATACGAACGCCATCTGAGGCAAGTTTTTTCGCCATGTCGCTTGATTTATTTCGTGTGATGGCTGTCAGCGAGTAGGTGGTGTCTTTCAACAGGGCTCTAATGACAGACCCCCCTTGGATGCCTGTGGCGCCAATAACTGTGATTTGCCTGGTCATAACGATGATTTTTGGTGTTGAGTTGAAATGAAGACACTTTTCTTTTGTTATCAGACGTGAGTCATAAGTCTTTATATAGAGGATGATAAGTTTACTATACCTATATTATAAAACGATGGGCGATGTTGATTGCGACCAGTCTCCATCGCGCTTTACGCAGTCAGCATAGCAATATTTAGTCCCAATTGATGTTCTTTTGCCCTTCGATCCACTCAATTCCGCTCCGTTCATTATAATTCAATTATGTATTCTCATTATAATGGAAACTGAGATACTATGCGGAAGAACCAAGGCTTTCTGCTCCACAAATGTCCGCTCCCAGGCTGAAGATGGTTTCGCTCCAATCGCATTGTTTTTCTTGTATTGTATTGCGTAACAGGGTAATATGTTACGGGGATAAACCAATCCATATTACGAGGCGGTGAAATCCGTGATGTAAGTACGAATAACGGAAGAGCTCGTTCTATCTACTACCTCGTATGCGTATTAGAAACCGGTTCATTAGATGTGAACATTTCCTACAATGTTAATTGTTGTCGAATGCGACGGAATTACAACACAGAGCAATCTAAGAAGATTGATTACGAAGTAGAACTAACACGGGTTTTCGACCTAGTATATTAATGTGATCCATATAATATATTTGAGATTTGGAGTCTGCGATTCAGCAGATAGTATCTCCCATTGTCTGTCTGCTCTGTGGAGAATATGAGCACTCATGCCTTTTATATTAAGAACAAGACCGGTGACTTCCTTTGTTTGTTTCGGAGAATGTGCTGTCTCACAGTTGCTGTGCCAAGGATATTCCTCCATACCCACTTCACCAAATCTTCAGGTCCCGCTCAACAACAGCGCTCTTTATCGGGAGAGGCGCCGGCATTGTAGATTAGGATATCAGGTACACCAAATGGCTTAAAAATATTTTGAATACCTTCTTCAACGGCGAAATTAGCCTTCAAGTTTGTTTTGTTGGAGGCTTTTGCAAACTTGTCCCGCCATGCGAAAAGTCCCAAACCTGTCCCGGCCAATAAAGCCGATTCGCTCAGCCGCGGCCATTGCTATCTATTAATGGATGACAAGTTCGCCAACGCCACAGCCAGTGCCATTAATGAGCACGGTCTTATCAAATAAAGGCTCCACGGAGATAGGTCTAGAGAGGGCCATATATGTGAACTCGCGATTTTTAACAAAAGAGGCTACTATTACACGGTAATCGTGTAACAAGAATGTAGCGAACAAATAGACCCGAGAGCACATTTCCATAAATGATCGCATTTCTGTAGTCCACGTAAGCGCGAGTATCTACTGCATATCCAGAAGCACTCTGCGCACTGTCCTCGCCTCTTTCGACGGGAATACTGGACACTTCGCTATGTTTTTTTTCATATAGTAGAGACTATAACGGCTGTCACCATTTGAAATCGAGCCGAGTTCTTACCGCAATGCCTCATGTTAGTCGAATTGAATACCTAAGACAAAATATTTCGCCATGGATTAACCTTTATGCAATCTTTTGACCTGATATTTTTTCGCGCGATATGCGTTATTTCCACAAATACATTATCTGCAAGGAACCCACAGATGTCCGCAAGCCACCAAGCCACATCTCTACCCAGGCTCCACCAATTTCCGCAATCCCACACCTCCATGCCAGCGCCAAAAGAGGATGTTTATAAGCACAAGCGCTTAGAGTGCTTATTTTCGCCACCCACCTGTATATGCGTATAAATGGGGGGCTTTCACGCCTGGAGGGGGTATCAACAAGTAGGAACAAATCGCTGCTGAGAAGAGGATCAATTACTCATATGAGTTACCGGTATACTAGACTACGTTAATATTTACTCCCTCTAAGATGTCAATCACGGAACTTGTCTTTATAACAGTCCAACCCGATCCTCAGGTACGCAAGGAACTTAATATGAAGCTACCAGATGCCCTTAGAGGGGTATTTTCTGGGCTTCCCAAACTAGAATCTCTGTATATTGCATCAAATTTTGGGCTCCTAGGTGAAGACGGAGGTAGTCATGATGATATATGCCTTCTTTTAAGTAAGTTTGGTCCACGACATCACAAAAAGGAGAAGTTAACCTCCCCTGAACAGAATGGCAAGATATTTCGGGCTTTGATTCCTTCATTAAGTCAACAGACTTCGCTGCATTCAAAAGATCCATATTGCCATACCTTACTGGTCCAGCTGATATCCAGTTGTATGAATCGCTAGAAGATGTGCCGGTTCGCATGGCGGTCGATTCGCCGCATCTTCACATCATGAGATCTCATCCCAATGTCGCCAATATTCAAACTGGCCGAATTAGCCGAACCAGTTTTGAGGACCGGTGGAAGGATTTTATTGAGCAATGTAGATTGGCGTTGAGTGCCAAAAGCAGTTTAATTGGGTCATTTAATGGCTTAGGGTTGCGCAAAGAAGATAGTGCTTTTTTTGGTGCAACACTGTGGAAGGATCGTGAGGTGAGCCGTCATTATTTCGGGGGTTATTTAACTTGACCGTTTAGGCTAATGAGACGAAGTCAATTAACTCAACTCTAAGCGACAGTGCCGTCAACCAACATCTCCAACGGCTGCAGGAAGTAACTGGGACCAACAATTGGGTTCACTTTTTGATGAAAATAGACCAGGTGGCATTGGATAAATAATTGTCATTTAAACTCGGTCGACCTTGTTGTGAGAGAACGTCTGATAGAGAATGACAAACAACTGAATAGAAAAATAACCGCAAGAATAAACCCTAGGAAGGCTTTACAGTAGACGATGCTGTATCTATGACAAACTCGAGTCCTCGATAATACATAATCCAGGATATATCATAAGTTTTAACCCAAAGAAGCGGTATAGCCGAACATCACCTTCCTGTGCTCCCGACTCATATAGCCAATAGCCATGGGTTAATAATTTCACCCAATTCATTCACGCAGGCGGTATGCTGTATGCTCGCTATTGAACTCATAACTGATAAGAGGAATAGAATGGGCTACGGAATATTAGCTTTCTCTGATGCGATATCTTCAAAATTCTTTCCGGAAAAGACTTACTCTTTCTCGCCCCTCCACCCAACGCATTTGAAGCAATAGAAGATATAAGTTGGGTCATAGTGATTCTTAACAGCCAAGAGCTTTCCATGATGCGAACCATAATACGCCTGCTGCCAATTTGGCTCTAAATAGTGGGCTTCATTCACATAGGCGCCACCACCAGGGCTCAGTTTCTTCAAAGGATCTAACAGCTTCAAAAGCTCGTTGGTAGTATGCTGCAGATGATCATACCTCATCGGCTCCAGCCACTCTACAACATGGATTACATTCCAGAACGCGCTTCGCCATTCTGGATGAACGGACGTCAACTCATTAAGATCGACATTAGTGACTGGGGTTTCTACCACGATCTGGGTGCCTGTCATGCTAACCAGCTTCTTCGACGCTGCGACGCCCCGAATAACTCTGTCCACAAGCTAATCAATTGTGTCGAGGCCAGCAAAAGCCTCACGAGGAATGAGTCGACTTCCCAGAAGTGAGAAAATTCCCGACGGTTCGGTGACCTTGGCATCGGCAGCAGTCACAGCAAGGTAGGTAGCGTAGTTGGGGTACGAAGCATACCTGTGTGCAAAAAAAAAAAAAAAAAAAAAAAAAAGGATAGATCAGTCCTGTTGTTAAGAAACCCTTAAACAGATGGTGTAGATGCTCCCAACTTGGAGTCGTTATCACCATAAGGCAGAACGAGACTTATAATATCTTCTCGGAAAATACTCAAACTGGCTAGTTACAAGTTGTTCAGACCACTAGATGATATTCTGAGCATGGAAGGTCAGAATCTCACGAAGGACTTTCTCATGATCCTGGTCCCATATTGTTTCACTTCAGTGAAAAATTCACGATGAAAGTATAGATGTGGATTTGTAAGGAGGGATAAACGTGGACGCGATATTTGCTAAGGACAGCAAAGGTACCGCCTCCCTCACCCCTCGTGGCCCAAAAAAAATCTGGGACATTGCATTTGTTGATGGTACGAACTTCCCCGGCAGCTGTTACTACCTCAAATCCAACAGCATTATCGACCATCAAACCATATGTTCTCTGAAATGAACCCACAACACCACCTTGACCAAGCCACCAGCAGGTCCTACTGACTGTTCATATCCTTCAGTGGCATCCATGCCGCGGCAATTAAAGTAACGATAGGCATCCCTCGCAATGACTCCGGCCCTGATCCCGCCAATATTATGGCCATATGCGGAAGGGCAGTTGCGGACAGTAAAATTGTAGCAAAATTTCAAGATGTCGAGATTATGAGTCCAAATAGCGAGAGAATTGGGCACGGAGGACCGTCCGTAAAAATCACGTCTCGTGTTTTTGATGCAAACGCAAATGTTGTTACAAATGCCAGTGCGGCGGAGATGTGGGACGTATTTCGGGAATCCACATAGTACGAAGCTGGTCCTCCAAGAGAACAATGACTATAAATTGCCTCTGTAGGATTAGACTCGAGTAACGCCCAGCCAGAATTATGACAATTTTCCCTAATCAACTCATAGGTCTGGCCAAAATGCTCACCTATGGAGACACTATTTCCATAAAATCCTTCAACCTTCTTGCCTTTTGATTCATTATAATAAAGGGAGCCAGCCCCAAATGGGAGATTTTTGTATAGTTGTCCCTCAACACTTACATTGAACTGTCGCTATTGCTGCAATAATGGCCAACAAACTTCACATGGCCGACAAATCATAACCGGGTTTTCTGTCGGCTTTTGCCGCCAGGGTAAGCTGAAAAGATAGAAATTCAGTAACCGGGAGAAACATATTGAAGCAGCTTCTCACAAAAGTAGGCAGATCTATAAAATGAGTGATTTGATTATTTAAATGAAGCCATCGGCGTAACTGCTATTCATTTAGATATGGCGAAAGCGTGTCTCTAAGGAAGAATCGTATACAACAGATCATTACCAAGAGACAAAGTGGAACCAAATTCGTGTTGCACACATTGGCTCATCACCAAGCCATGACGAGTTGATTGACACAATTTAACAAGAAAGTCTCTTTAATTTCAGAGTATATAGGTTTTGGGTTCATTAATTTTCATGACGGGGCGTTTCTTGCGCCAAGATCTAAAGAGCAAACGTGACAATACTTCAAGCTCTAGCTATGAATCCAGCTCAAGTGAAATTTGCATTGCGTGAGACCGCAGAGCTGACTCTCTTTAGAATAGATACGCGTTGAAAATAAAGTAATAATCCGAACGTGGAATGCTGAACATTGTGACGATTCGGTAGTATTTTAATCTGGCGCTTATGTACCGTAGCGAATTGGCTTCCTAACTATGAACAAGAATGATATCATCGGGCTAGGAAAATAAAAACATAAGTCATATCTTGGTCCAGAATACATGACTCCTGAAGCACGGTAGAGGTATTGCTCATTTTCAAAAGAATATGGAATTATTTACTTATCTACAGATGCAACGATATTCTATGATTTGTAGGGCTGAGATTGATATTCTGGCGATAGGAACACCCTTGACTGAACCCCATCTTGTATCAATTTAGACATAGCCAGCGCTTGATTAATGCCCATAGAATGACCAATTTTGTCCAGACAGATTGCAATCCATTTGCGAAGATCGCCGCACGCGATTGGGGAGTTCCCAGCAACCAAGAGCGGCCACATAATGGTGAGGCCGCCTGCCCCGGTAATTTGAAAGGATGATAGAGTAGCCCCAATATCTAACCCATGGCCAACAGAAGCGCCTGGAGCAGAAGATCCCAAGTGTCCAGAGTCTTCTATTTCCATGCCCAAGTTGTATGGTACGCTAGCACAGATATCTTCTACCAGTTGAAGACAAGTCTGTCTGGCTTGATTTGTCAAGTTGCTACGTTGTGGGTAGCCAATGTTATCGTTTGTGATACTTTCTAGATCCTTGACGGCGTTGATGATAAGTTCCTGAATAATGATACGAGCTGAGCGGTAGTTATTCCACATGCTACTTGCGTAAATGCTGTGATAGATGTGGTAACTATTACCCCAAAAAGCCTGGGTTATGGGCTTTCCATCGAGCATTGGAACCTTAACCGTATCGTATCTCCACAAAGGAGGCACGCTGATCATCAGTGATACCAATTCCGCGTCGATTTTTAGAGCTGTGCCAATGATCTCCTTGGGCTCGACGATATGTCTATTCTTTATGTTGGCGCAAAAGTCTGTTAACCGAGTAATCGCAATGAAAAGTTGGTCTATGATTTGATCATCAGGATTCCGATCTAGATGGATATCTTCGGTTAGGTTAGTAAAAACCGACGAGCTGTATCGTTCCTGGTATATTCGAATGATGCCCTAGATGGAATTCGATTGGTATTTTATTCTAAATGCGAGTAGCTTTATAAAAACTCACCACTTGAGCACGTAACTGAGTGAATAAATCCAGCCCCTCCTGCCGAGAAAGTTGCGCTGATCCGCGAAGCTCTATTAACTTTGTTGCGCCTTCCATGTGATTCACCCAACGATCGATAAATGAGCCATCAGTACATGTCATGACCTTCCCCCCTCAACGTTAGTCAGCCATGCATTGGGGTGTTGGGAACAACTTACTTCAAACATGCCAAGCATAACTACCGCTGCCAGTATACCATCTGTCTTGCACATGGATGGGTCCTTCAGGGCTAGATTGGTTTTAGACAAGGCCGTAGTATACTCCTGTTGTGCCTTCAGCATGGTCTTGGGAGACAGTCGAATATTTGCCAGGGCCGCTAATGCGACGGCGCTTACTGCGGCATTGACTGCCGAATTTCGTGATCTCTCGATGAGTGGCAAAAGATATGACATATGGCCGCAGCGGGGACCTCCAATTATGTAATTAGCATAGAGATAGCTTCTTGCAATTTCTTGCTCAGGGTACACAAGATTAGCCCTTGGAATACTTAAAGCCGTCTTTTCGCAGCACAGAGCTCCAAAATCGTCCGAATCTCGAGGTATTCCAGTTGGAATTGATGTCTGAGGCTCTACAGTGCTCGTTGACGCAGGGCGCTTCTTGCTCGCAGGAAGTCGATAATTGCGAACGACCTCCTTGCTCTGATCCTTAAACTTAAGCTCCAGTAAATTTCGGTATCCAGGACAGCTGACGTCGGCTCGAATACACTGAGTACATGAAGGCGTCCTATAATCGCACTATGAAACATGCTGATCAGTACGTAGATTTTTTGCAGCCCCAACTCAACTGTTGCCTTGATGAGTGACAGGAAAGTAGAGTTTGTATATGTAAGTGTCACTGGCGCCTTAAACGCACGGTGTTTTCGGCCCGGGTGTGTAGTTTCAACGCACCTTCAGGCGGCGATGCCGGCAGCGCTCACACGCAGCACTCGGCTTGCCACGATAAACCATGATCCGTGTTGGGGTACAGCTGTCAATAAATTACTCAAAGAAGAAAGAGATGCGTTTACCAGCGACGGAAATGTTTGAGAGATCAATTGAATAAAAGACAAAGGTCATGATTGTGTCAACGCGGCCTCCCCGTTATTTAAGCAGATCCGTTTCAGGCAACCAGCTCGGCGCTATATCGAATAGGGCTCCAATGGTTCCGTTATAACCGTGCTCCGCTGAACTTGGCTGTCACTATCAACTGCTAAGCGCTAAGCCTTATTGCTATAATTCCCCACCATCTTCGGGCTGCATTGGTGACTAGAGCGGAGGCAATCCCTGCTTACACCTTGACAGCATGAATGGTTTGAGAAATTCGAGGCAGAAACCAGCTGAAACCGTCAACCAGAATGAATATTCGGATCGATCAAGATAAGACGCCGGACCTACCATAAGCAAGATAATTGATAGGAAGCACCATCTGCCGCATTGATTTAGAGACATGTTATCAAGTATCCATCGTAGAGAATTAGCATTCGAAAAGCGTGGGATCATAGAATAAAGTAGTAATGGGTAGAGAATCAAGATCTTAGTCATTATGGTATAACGATTTTGATGGTAAAATATAGCAATTGTCTGCTATAGTTCAGTATATATTCTTTTACTGAGAATACCTTTTTATAATACCATTATTTATGTACTTCTCCATTGCAGTATAAACAATCATAACGAGCATTGCATTGACTATTTTTCGTTACTTACATACACTTTATACATTTCTATTAAACTTTCTTACGACACAAAAAGTAAGAGTTATTCAAGCCTGAGTATTCTATCCAGACTAGCGTTATTTTTAAACAGAGATGATGTAACTTAGGGCGTGTTTTGTAATAATATGAGCATTTTGTAAGTGTCCTTATGCACTAAATACAATGCCTACCCACTAAACAAAAGTACAATGACAATTCATGAGATTTTAGCCCTTGGTTCATATTATAAATAATTTGAAATGCCAGCTAACTCTTTGGTGTCATTGTATAGTATTCGCGGCTTGTGTTCGCAGATTTTTGGCCACGAATTGGAATTACTCTTCAATGTATGCTTGATGCCACTTCCCTTTATTTAACCATAAGAAGAGTTATAATATCTTTATAAGCTTATGCTAACCCTATAAACCTGCATGCGATGGAAATTTCGCATAGTGTATATATTTATGTCCTGTTATTCCTTGCCTTCTAACCATTTCCGGGGTCCCGAGATCAATGAAAATTCGCTTAGACCATATACCCTACTCCCTCGTTCGGTGCTGCTGTCTCAACCCAATTTCAGCGGGTTGATGCTGACTCTGGTTATAATTCTCTCTGCTGAAGCTTGCGCTGGCTGCTGCGACTGCCAGAGATAGTACTCCCAACTTGCCACCGCCAAAATCTCCTCTAGCAGCCCGATGCGCGAGCTTTTCCTCAGTGGTTCGCTTGCCATGATTTCTTTCTGGAACGGCTTTATGCGTAAAACCGGCATACAAATACAGGAAAACGACGATCATCTCCTCGACCTTTGCCATGAATAGTTCTATCAGGACAGATGACGTTGATTCCTCTGCTGCCGAATCTTGGAATCGTTTGTTAAAAATGAGAAGAAGAGAGTGGATTATGCGAATAAACAAGAACGGTAGTGACAATGTTACGACAAGTAGCATTCTACTTTCACCTTGCCGTTCTGTTATGTAGCGCGTAATGTTGGCGCCTATCGTCAGAAGGGTGAGGAGAATCAGGACAACCAGGTACACAATAACTCCAGCCTTTACCGTGTCTTGGTTTATAATATCGGTTGCGGTGTCTGCCGATGTTGCTCCAACAATACAGAGGATGAGGGCGACAACAGCTGGGACTTGAACGATTCTCGCAATAAATAAATTGAAGATAGTGTTGTACGGCCGTTTAAGGAGATAATAGTATCTATGACCTGTTAACTAACGAGACTTGACAGTGAAAATAAATGATTTGATGCTAACACTCGAGATAAAATTCCTAGTGTTGCTAGCAAGAGCGGTGACAGACCCAAGAAGCCAGCAATGGTAGCAATGGTCTCGGCAGTGTCAGATGTGGCAGTTATCGTTGCAATCTGTGCAGAGCAACCGATGACACGCATGATGCTAAGTATCGTGAGAAAAATCCAGCCTGAACTCCGCGCTAGGCCGTGCCGAAAAGATACAAATACGCTGCAGATGAGTGTAACGACGTAGTAGACGAGTTCCCAGACGGCTAAGCCATCACTCAGCGTGACGTGAGCCATTGCGGTGTGAATCCGTTAAGGTATGTAATCTGATGAAGCCGATGAAAACATTGCTTAAGCTCGGACTATTTATTGAAAAGAACACACTTCATAGACTATAGGTTTACGAAAGGATCATATTGATTCGACGAATCCAACAGACATGGAGGTTTCCGAAATAGGCAATCGCTAAGTTTCGCGAGGATTGAATGCGCGCGGCCCCCTGCCTCGGGCTGTGCTTAGCGCCGAAATGCATTCCCGCAATGGCTTAACTCACACGTAATTGGGGCGGCGCCGTTGGAAAATTGGTGGTACCTCGTAGAGAAATCTCCAAACAGAAGACTCTTCGCATAAGGTACGCGTACGCACCTTAAACTGAGTCATCTGCTTTCCTCATAGAAGTCTATATGTCTCTGTTGTCAAATTTCGAATCCTGAGTTCAATCCCCTTAAATGTAGGCCGGGCTCCGCGGATTACGCTTGCTTTTCGGGCTGACTTGCAAGACCGACGATGTCTGGCAATGCTTGCTCAAAATTGACTGTATCTGTACCATGAGCAAGCTGCATTATCGTTCCTCTTATTGGTCAAGGCAAGGTAGGTATTTTCCGTGGTTGGCTAAAAGCGCTCTTTAATCACGTTATGTCGCCATAAGCTTCCCCTTCTTATATTATAGAGACGCTTAATTGATCCATACCCCTATAATCTTAGTGAACTGCCTTACGCGCTTTGCAAATAAATTATTTATAATTGCTTCATAATATATAATTTAAATACAATTTATCCCTTTGTATCTTCCTCAAGCCTAGCTCAGTCCCATCTATATGTTGCTACGGTAAACAATGTTCCTTTATCACTGGTGGTGTGTCTCCCAATACGCCAGTGCATCTGCACTAGCCTGTCTTACTATAAGCTAGGTATGCATCATGAATATCAGTAACCGTCTTCTGCATTGCGAAAAAGGTATATGGCGCTATATTATTACTTACCCATTTGAGGCTCCCTTCTAGATTATCGATCTCTTTTCTTTTCCCCTTTTCCGATTCCTTTTGCGCTTTCTCGATTTTCTTTTGATTATCTCTATCGGACATTCCTCGGCCCAGTAGAGCAATTGGATCATTGCGACCACACTGTTGCTGTGGTTGTAGGACTTGTGAAATCGGAGCAATAAGATCGCCATAACACGCTATTCTTTGCTTCGGTGATGCGGTTATGGAATATGGTCGTGCATCGCCCTTTGGGATGCCAACTTCAGCATCGACATCAGTTGAACTTCCAATGCTAAATTATGTTAACATACTATGTGATGGTAATTGACAACCTACTATGAAGACTCACCATAATTCAAGACCGGTTGGCAGAAAGAGATTCATGTTGGCGTTTAACAATGCAGAAGAGAGTTGTGATGCCTGGCCGGCTGCCACGCCGAGTCCGATACCAATTTGGCCGATTGTGAGACCGATGCCAGCAGCTCCAGGCCTGTACAGCAATACGTTAGCTACGACAAGTTAGGTGTCGGGGAGCTATGAATACTTACACGAACCAACTGGCGATTTTTGCAGCTTTCTGGAAGATCTGATTCTCTGGGCTGGGAACGATGGCAATATTGATTGCGTCCAAAACTTGCATGAAGAGTTCCATTGTGATATTGTAGTGGCTTAGTTCCTGGCTGTACCCACGGAGAAAAGGCTGTCCATCTCCATGAGCAATCTGTGGCAAGGCCAGTGGACGGAATATAGGGCCTCGAGACCACCCTCTGTCGCCGATGTAGTATTCACTAGCGCATGGTTGTTGATTGTATGACTGCATTTGGTATACTTGCCCATCACCTGTATAAGTCTCACTGCCAGCAGGGAATTGTAAAATTTGGCCGTCGTAACCATTGTGTATGCGTTGCATATCGTCAATCCAATGGCTACCGATTGATGAGCGATAATGATCATCTTGACATTGTTCAGCTCGATAGTGTCGACCACTTTGGCCAAGAGGCCGGTTGCCAAAGCTGCTTCCATCTGATGAGCTTCTAACGTTTTTTTTGCGATTCGTATAATCCGCATCCGCTTGGTTATAAGATGATGACCGCTTCCCAGTTGATAGAGGGCGTTGAGGGCTATTACGACTGTTATTATTCGTGAAGGGTAGTCTAGGCCCACCATAAATTCCGTTGTTCAGCTGATTAGCTCCAAGAGCCGAACCTATAGCATCGCGTATTAATCCCATACTGATAAAAATAGTCCTACTAAGACGTAACAGACGTAGGCAGGTTGTCTTAGAATAGTGATGACTTTGATGTAGGTAGCCTACTAAGGCTCAGCAAGAGTACGGCGGGGTCTCTTGGGGTGATTGCCATTTTTATAAGGGACGATCTTGGGAACATTTGACTATATATGTGCCGCCATGGCAAATGTGACGGGTATAAATCAGACGTAAGTTGAGTTTCTGTGCCCAAGCCACTGGGCTGCTGAATAAGGTTCCTATGCTACTCTATATCGGGCTATCAGTTCGGCGCTAGTTATAACTCCAGGCAGAACTACAAGTATACAATACGAACTTGAAGGTTCCTTGGGGAAAGTACTTCCATAAGCTCGTGGATTACTCCTGCACTGGATGTTTGTGAATTTTACCCCAGGTAGAGCCCCTTTGAAGATCGACAGTACAAATAGGTAGTTATGCTGGTATTACAAAACCTCGGTATATAATCGTGCTTAACTACGTTCACCATACCATGCGATTCCTTTCCTTCATGATTAATTGCATTATCTACTTTATGGTATAGATGTGAATGGTCCTCTCATACACCTTAGAACGGACTATATCCACTCTTTGCCATATTCACTCCTAACAATGTCGCTTCATCCAAATCCTCCTCCGGTAGACCAAACAAGCCATTATGAAGTTTCTTCTGGTAGACTGCAGGACAATCAGGAGAAAAGATGCGAGAATAATAAGCCTTGGCTAAACCTTTGGAGTCGCCCGCAGCAAATGCAGCTCTGCCGTCCTGGATACGCTTTGCCGTGCGCTCATACCGGATATCCCAATCAGCATCTGCTGTGCCTGTAACACGCTCAACACTATCTAGCATCTCCCGTTGACTAATTAAGAAACTCGACACATATATAGCCTTGTTCTGGAATTGCTGTAGTGTTAGCGATGGGTCGTTGTCATCGCCTGGGACCCTTTTCAGTCCCAGAAATGAGGCGACAGCGCGTCCGCACTGTGCCCATGTAGTAGTGTTGATTCGAGCTTGTCCATCATCAAATATTGTGACTTCTCTCTTGTTGATGTCGAATCCAAACCAGTCAGGTGGACACGCCAGACTAAATTCGTACCACAAGCCAGTCACCAAGACAGTCCATTTTAAGCCAAGGCGCTCAATCTCGGAGAGAAGTGGCCTAAAAGCTGGGCCCATTCCAGTTTCATCACCGATGGCTTGATTGTTCAATACAACATCCGCCGTGTAGATGTTGGGCATGATGTGTGGTATTTTGGCCTTTGCTGCCGCCTGCACAATTTTATTGTGTATTTCACTTCCAGCCGAGTAAGCTAATGTAATTATAAGAAACTCATGGCCTTTCAACGCGGAAACGATTGATTCTTCGTCATCATAGTCCACGAAAGCGATTTTGACGCTATCGGGAAATTTGGAAGCGCCTCCCTTACGGGTAAGTGCTGTGATTGTATGCCTATTAGTCTTGAGAAGTTCCTGAGTGATATGTCGTCCCAGTTGCCCAGCAGCCTGCTGGTTGTTAGTAGATGAATGCTAAAGCTTTGGTTGTTGGTTTGAACGCACTCCCACAATTGCCACTCGCTTGACCTGAGTTTTTAGGTCGAATGGCTGGTCTTTAGCGATCTTTTGCCCGTCCATAATGTATGGTAGTTTGGAGTGTTGGAGTTGGATAATGATTGAATAGTATAAATGATAGACATATGAGTCGTAACATAAAATAAAGTGTCTATGGACGGGTTATATACATCACAGCTAATGTACAAACAGTGTGCCAGCTTGTTTTGTTAACCAGGATTATTAATGATGGCTCCTAATACTATATATTCTGTTAGTCAGACTGGACTCCGGATTTCCGGGTCGACGAACATCGTCCTCCACCGGACTCCGTATGAGATCGCTGACAACTCACGCTCCATTCCTTTCCATTACTAACATTGGATCTGATGAATAATTGGCACAGCAGTTGAAAGCAAAATCCTTGGCTTATCGGACTCCGTTAAAGCTCAGGGCACGGATACACCGCATATAATGCCAATTGCAGTTGTTGTGTTGTGCGACTAGTAGAATGGCTAGGTATATATAGCCCTCCAAGTATTCCAATAATACTTCTAGAACCATAACATAAACACTACACTGTTACTCTACCATCTTAATATCTATATTCCTGATATATTAGGCCCTGGGCGTTGGTGATGGATAATACCGACAACCTGGTGATCCCAAAATGGGTATCCTTCACTAAAGAGTGGCATACAAAACCATACCCGGATATTTCCCCCAGTCGTAGTGGTCTGTCTGCTGCTGGGAAGAACGTGGTTATTACAGGAGGCGGCACAGGCATTGGGAAAGCCGTCGCCATTGCATTCGCCCAAGCCGGAGCCAACAGTGTCTCCATCCTAGGAAGGCGGCTGGATAGACTTAAAAGCAGCGTCATTGCGATTTCGGCCGCCACTCAGTCTAACACCCAAGTCCTTTACAGAAAAGCAGATCTTACAGAGCATGCGCAAGTCCAAGATGCACTTGCAAGTATTACAAGCGCAGTAGGCAAGGTGGACATATTTGTTAACAATGCAGGCGCACTTCCACCCCCAGGGTTGGTAGCAAAATACAATGCAACAACATTTATGGGAGCCTTTGAGATGAATGTCCTTACATCGCTCAATGCTATTCAAGCATTCATTCCTCTCGCCGGGGCTGATCCGATACTACTCAATATATCTACTAACCTTGCGCATGTACGGCCTATGGCTGGCATGCCAGCGTATGCGGCAAGCAAGGCGGCACAGCTTAAGATGGTCGAGCATTTTGCGGTAGAGAACCCGGAGCTACATGTTGTCAGTCTTCAACCAGGGGTTATTGCGACGGAAATTGCTGGCCCTGACTCTAATGTACAAGGTCAGGACGAAGGTAAGCAGCGGAATGCGGTTTTCAACTTTATAACTTTACCAATTTCCATGCCATCAAGCTAATAGTTTCATGAGTAGTCGAATTACCAGCGCATTTCTGTGTGTGGTTGGCGTCATCTGAGGCAAAGTTCTTGAAAGGGAAATTTGTATGGGCTAATTGGGATGTTCCTGAGCTGCTGCAACGGGCCGAGGAGATTCGCGACTCGCGACTGCTTACAATCGGCCTGGCCGGTGTTGCAATGTAAGGGAACTCGTCGGTCAGATATGTACATACGCGGCGCGCTATCGCATGATGCAACTTACGTAACAATAGCCTACCGGAACTCCGCTCGGAGTTCTTGATGACATGGCCAAGTCCGCACGGAGCTCCGCCCAGTTCCGTTGCAGGAGTCCTTCACTTTAGAATGCTAAGTATTTTTTTCTCCCCCTTAGGGATTTAGTATTTTGTTGGAACCAGCTTTGAAATCAGTTACTTTGGGCATTCATATATTCCGCCATTTTAACGACTTTGTTCAAGGCAGCAAAACCAACCGCGGCGTCTCCAGCCTTTCCCGTGTCTGAAAACCGGCATGGGTGAGACGAGAGTGCGGAAGGATCTTGGTAGAAGAAAGGTAAAGCTAATGAAGTTCACCATTAAAGACTCAATGTGGCTCCTTACACGTATCCTTAGGCATGCGATGCATGTTGCCGCCGGAAGATTCGATGTGATGCCAATGTCCCCAAATGCTCCGCCTGCGTCTTACACGGCACCTCATGCACGTGGACTCCAGGGCTTCATGTAAAAGCACCTGTTATAAAGATACAGGATGTGTAAGTATTCGCAGATCAATGACCAAACCAATGATACTGACGTGATTAAGTATGAGCTCACAAAATCGTCGCTTCGCTGATATCGAAAGTCGCTTAGCGGCTCTCGAACGCTCCCTTCGCGGCAACTCAGTGTCTCGGCACACATTGATGGAAGAGCCGAGATCCCCAGTGTCTACCCTTACAAGTGATTTAGCAGGATTTACGACGACGACGGCGTCGATCGAAAACAGCGGCCATTTCGCCTTGCCACCCCGGGACCAAGTGTCTGTATTGGTAGAAAACTATTTTTCTGACTACAATCAGGCCATGCCCTTGTTTCATCAACCCTTATTTATGCAAATTCTGGAAAATTGGTACCGATTTCCCCACGAGCGAAACGAAGCGTCATGGGCATCTATAAATGTCGTCCTCGCTTTAAGTCTACAGCAGACGCCCTCGGCTGCAACAACCAGCGACGACCTGGTATCCTCAGAATGCATCAAGAACGCTCAATCAGTACTGAACCGTCTTGTTATTCGAGATGAGGATTTACAAGGGTTGCAGGTCGTCTTGGCACTTGTGATTCTGTTTCTCGGCACCTCGCGGCCGCAGCCCTCTTGTGTCCTGATCGGGACGGCAGTTAAACTAGCGCATCGGCTTAAACTTCATCTCCAGGAAGGACTCGATGATGAAAATATTGAGCTGGCGGCTCAGAAGGAGAGATTACTATGGATTACGTACATACTGGATAGAGACATATCCATGCGAACGGTTGAACCCTATGGGCTTCAGGAGCACGACATGGAGGTTGATACCATTTCACCAATTCTGAAAGACGATCTTGTTGGTGTTTTGTCTCTGCCAGGCAACCCTAGCCAGACTGCAAACATATTCCATCTCCGGATTCAATTGGCCCGTATTCAGGGGCTGATGTACGATCTCACATACTCGGTGCGAGCGCGGAAACTTTCTGGCGACCAACAGACCACCGCCGTAGAACGGCTGACGCACTTGCTCGAGGGATGGCGCAATGCTGTTCCGGAAGGCTTTCGTATTGAAGATCTCCCTACTTGCGGATCGGATAATGTTCTGAGTCAGTTTGTACCCTTATATCTTGCATATTTTCTATGCCTGTTTACTGCAAATCGCTTGCAAATTCGCAATTCAACCTGGATAGAGCGCCTAATGGCTTTTTGTGACGAAATCATACATAGCGACGATGTAACCGGTCCATCCTCGTCGAAGTCACATATAAAGTCAAGTATGAAGTTGTTGCCGACTAATTGGTCCAGCATAGTTGAGGCCGCAAGATTATGTATGAGACTTCACCAATTCGTCAGCCATATTCGATTATCGACATTGCCGTAAGTGGTATAAATATTAGGAGCGCATACTCGTAATGCGAAAGACACCACTGACACAGCCTTTTTAGTAGCATTATTTGCAGTTACCGATCTGCACTTGTCATCCTTATCGCAAACAACCTGACCGTGGGAGAGCATCCTCTCCATGATCAGATCGAAGATGACTTACGGCTTATAGAAGAAGCATTGATAATATTCGAAAAACAGTCTATGGACACAAATGACGATTTTGGACAACCTAGTGTTTTGTCTGTTTGCCGGAAATTGAATCACGGGTCAAAATTAGCAATATGGAGGCTGCAGCAGGGTTAACCCCTTAGTGCTATTTGCAATTCCTTGCCTTGTTTGCTTAGGGTTCAATCCAAAGCCTTTCTCTTCAAGGAATCTGGTCTATACCCTCATTGAAAATGTCCACATCTTGAACAAAGTCTTGCAGAGCTAGATCCTCACTAATTATGAAGTTTGGATCAATGATCCGCACCCCGGCATTCGGCGATAATGCAAAACGTAGTATTGAGATGAATGTCAGCTGATTGTGCACAACTCGCGCCAGAATTCTCTCTTACATTAAATCCGGACCGTTGATACATTTTACGCGTATCATGTTCGATCCGAGTACTGTGAAGGTGGTTCCAATTATGTACTGGGCCGACAATGATTCAAAACAATCTCTACAACTTTGATACCACTAACAGGCGCTTGTCTGTCGACAAGTCCACATAGTAACCCTGAGGATGTTCGACTTCCCTCGGCCAAATGCACACTTCATATAGGTCAAGGTGGAGTCTCCAGCTTACTGACGTATATACGGTGCAAGATTCTTCAAGATTTTTTGTGGTGAAACCTTAAATCGGCCGAATACAGCCGTGCCTACGTTACCTCGGTCCGCGGATGAAGAAACCGGTAGGTTGGATCATTGCAGGTGGAAAGCGGTCGACCTCTGTGTCATTTCAGGTTTCTTCCTTTTGCTTTCTTATCCCCAATAGGTGTTATTATCGCTAATTAATAGAAATTGCATTTAGCACCACGCTCTAACTTTACAGCACTGTAATAAATGTGGCTATTTGTATTCAGTATCCAAGGAATTTGCATGTACTTCTTATAAAGCCTGGCATTACTAGTGTCGGATTTACTTCGGAGGTGGCGTCGGATCTTCAAAAAAGATACCCTTCACGGTCCCATGTTCCAAATCCTCGGAAGTTCGATCTTGCAACAGAATCAAGCCCGTAGGAAATATGCCGACCACATCAGCTACCGATCGTACGACCCCAACCCGCAGCTACCGCTGCGCAGTTGCCTGTCAGGGCTGTCGCCAGCGCAAAGTTCGATGCAGCTTGGCTGTCACGGGTAAACCTTGCATAGGCTGTACTCAGGATCGGACCGAGTGTATTGTCGTCCCAAAGCAGCGAAGGAAGTGAGCTTGGAACATTATTGAATTCAGATACTGTATCAAATCCTAATAACTGTAATTGCAGAACCCGAAAATCGCATCCCAAAGTCATTCGCCGGCATGATCCAAATCCTATGCAAGGTTCCAACGCTGTAGATGATCTTCCCGCTGATGATGAGTCGAATCCCAGTATGAGCTCATCTACCTTTCAAAATGGGGGGGGTGAGGTAGATCCAATCTCTATACCGACTCATCCGGCTTTTGGAGGTGACTCTAGTGAAGGCGGTCCGGGCAATGGAGGCGATGTCGGAATAGCATCGTTGGAACAATCTCAAGAAGTCGGTACTACGACTATTCGCGCCGAAGTTCACGGTGATATCGAGAATGAGGAGAGAAGCGGGTTTGAGATTGCGACAGCAGCGTTAGGGCAATCTCAAAGAAACGGCGAGGTGCCTTTCTACGCCGGTTAGCAATTTTAAATCTGTGACACTCGAATGATTCCAGCTGATCTACTACATAGGAGGCACGACCGGACCCACATCCGCTCTGGACATTTGTTCACCAGAGAAATCGTTGTCAAGGCACTTTCTCATCCCATCTCGGGCTCGTTCCCCTCTTTCAGATGTGGACCGAAGCTATCTTCAGGCGAAAGGAGTACTTACGCTTCCCAAGGCAGAAAGCTGTGACAGCCTCCTTCGAGCGTATCTCCATCACGTTCATCCCATAATGCCAGTCATTGAAGTCGATCACATCCTAGAATACCAGCATAGCGGGAGACTTCATGAGTACAACATTCTCCTACTCTGGAGTATTTTCTCTGCTGCAGTTAATGTGAAGGTCCTCTGGCTCTCTTCATGTTGGGTTGTGCTAATCAAGTAGCAGTTTGTCCCTTCTGAAATCTGTCAGCAAGAGGGTTATAATTCTCGAAAGGAAATGAAGGCTGCAATGTATTCACGTGCAAAGGTGAGTGGATAGCGAGCTTTGATCGGCCTGAGCGAGTGATGTTGTCTTGAACAGACCTGCTAATTCTGTGCAATAATAGTGTATGTTTACCGTCAGTAAAGAAATAGACAAGGTGGTCCTTATACAGTCTTCTTTATTATTGGGATTCTGGATTTCAGAACAAGATCAACATTTGCAACCTTGGTACTGGACTGGAACCGCAATCAACCTCTGCCAGATGCTGGGACTGCATCGTGATCCAGACTTCTCAAAATTTAATTCTGCAGTCACCGATCGACAACGGTGCCTGTGGCGTCGGCTTTGGTGGAGCTCATTCTATCGAGACTGCTGGCTTGGCTTAAATTTCGGAAGGCCACTAAGAATTAACCTTACCGACTGCGATACACCTTTGCCAATGGCCACGGATGTGCTTATTGATTTAGTAGGGGTGCCTGAAAGTACATCCGCTAGCTTTATACCAGATGATATGTCTAGGCTGGCCTCTTACTGGGTGACATTGGTTGAATTGAGCAAGAAACTGGGTGCTGTAATTGCTTTAAACTACCAAGCTCAACGACCAAGGCCTACTATCCAGCAGTTTACATCTCTTGAATCGGGGATTCTCCAGTGCGCATTACCAAATCAATATGAGTCTAATCAGACGAGTTTGGCACGGTTTCATTCTTTACATGTTCATTTGCACTACCAGTAAGTCTGGTTTCTGTGTCGTTCCGGAATTTTGGCTAATAACAGCGGGGATAGGGTACTTCTTATTGCTTTATATCGGCCTTATGGATCCGAAACTCCAGCTGGTCTTGATACTGAACCTGAAGATTGGCAACATCGGATGTGTCTGAAGGCTGGTGAAGCTGCATCTAAGACCAATGATATTTTTAATGCCCTCGCAGAAGATGGCCTTCTCATATTCGCCGGGCCAATGACGTAAGCACATGGACTTAATTCAATTCTTCGCTCATTTTATTCCTGACTCTCAACATCTGGCTATACTCAGCCGAGGATTACAATATCTGACACATTGTAGACCAGGACTCTTAGCCCCAGCAATGCAAACGCACTTACTTTTTTATAAGTCTGCCGACCCCCTCACAAGACGCCTTAAGCTTCACAAACTTGAGATGTGCATGCTTATTATGGAAGAACTTCAAAAAACCTACAGTGTCGCTTCCCTTTACCGAGGGATTTTCCTCAAGGCTATGGAGCAGATCTGCCCCTCCTACCAAACAAAATCAATGACTTCCGACCAAGCAATCAGCTCAGTTCCAAGAAGTGATTCTGCCAACAGGAACCACACTGGGGATAAGGTTGCCTCTAGTCAGTCAGTCGCAGAACATGTTGGTAACACCACTTCATTTACCAGTGCGTCGGGGCAAGATACCGACATACTTGGAGATTTCATGGACTCATTAATTGATGACTCCTCAATATTTAACTTCTGGGAAATATGGAATTAAAAAAAAAAAGCTAGTACAAATTCCACTTGATTCATTAAAAAAGCACCTGCTTCAATTCAAAGAATTAATAATTAGCAAAATTGGAAGCCTCAAGGTTATAGTCTTCAAGATCTAAACTATAGCTGTAAAGAAAGATAGGAATGTGACAGGTGTAACTCCATGCAATTGTTGTATATAGCAGAGGTTTGTTTCTCAAATAGTGACTGAATCCATCTAACAGAACATAATATTACGCATGAGGCGATTCAATTGGCTACGCAGAGATTACACAGACTTTCTCCATAATCAATTTTTATAATGATACCAAGTGTTCGCAATACAACGGCGAAGCAGCCTGTTGGTGGAACAAAACACCGCTTATCGGCTGCAAGACGAGGGAGGTGGCCCTGGCAACTGTTTCGGACTCAATATGCCTGGCAATTCCCAGTCTATTAACATAGCTGGTATGTGGACTAGCGGTGGAGGTGCAGATGGTGGTGGCTGTACTTTCTTTTCTGGCTATAACTGTGATGGTGCCAACCAAGTCTGGGCTACATATGGCAGCGGCTCAGGAACATGCTTGCCTGCAAGGGGCAGTGTTGGCTATCTGTGGAAGAGTGCATGGTGCGCGGCCGGTCTCTAAGCAGCGCTGCTGTTAAATTAAATAAACTAAATCTAAAGTATAGATTTATTTATTTAACTTTAAGTTTATAATATATATATATATATATGTATGTATTTCATTTATTTAGTAGAGTTTCAAGTTTACTATTTATAATATAATTCTTTTATATAAAACCTGGAATATTTTCTTTTTAAGTTGTTTTCCTTGTATTTGATGTAGACGAACATTACTTCAGCTACTATAACTATCGGTATAGCCAAAGTTTCAGCAAAGACAACCTACCGGCACAGTGTTATAGTATAATGAGCAATGACGACGAACAAGCTATGTCTGCCATTTTTGGACTTACTGTGTATGACTTGTACGGGTGTCATGACATGGTATGACTCGACCAGGGAATCAGCTCTGGAGTAATTGCTCAGGGTCATCTTAGTACATTTCCAAAAGAACTGGAATACCGTGTTGTGTCTATAACACTAGTTAATCCGGTTTTGCTGATCCATCACCGCTGCCCCATGCCTCATCTCGTGGATCCCGGTAAACGCATCTATTCAATGAGCAACGTCCTTTCGTAAGTCTCCACGAGTGAGAAATGTCGGCCCATGAGATCATGGAGAGCAAAAGAATTCCTCTAGAGACCGCAGAGCAGATTATAAAGCTATGTGATAACTGGCTAATGAGCGTTGCAGAAGCAAAAGGTTGATAGAAAGGGATGCAGGTGGAGCTTAAATAAGTGTATTTTACGACATGTTGCGTAAGGCTATACGACACATTGTAAACAGGCTTTGTGCAGGTTTACCCTTAGGCGCTTCTTCAACTCCAGCAGGTGTAGGTAATGGTGACATCCCTTGAATAGGATATCTGGTGGAATCAAATGGGATGGTTTTATTATTGTGATTACTAAAAACAAGGGCTATTTGGGTTACACAGCTATCCACTCCATTTTATTCTCACTTCTCATTGATACCATATACTACAATCAATAAGCTATCTGTAAAGAGATTATATAAAGAGCATAGATTTATGTTTTATGGTTTCTTATATAGCTTTTCTATATTAGCTGGTTGTCTATGTAAGCTGTGTCGCGAAATCTTTTCAGTCCACGATAAAAGAAAGGCAACGACAATTGTTCAGCTATCTTTCCGACAAAGGGGTCCATTGGCCTGCTGATACCAGTAGTTTGACCCTATGCACGTCACGCAGTAGAATAAGTCGTTGGGATCGTAGTTCTTCTTGATCGCTTCAAGCGTTGGCCTCGTTGTGCCGTAGAAATTTACCAGATAGTTCGGATCTTTGTAGTTTGCTTCATTGATATAGGTTCCAGTGTCAGGTGCCAGCGATTCCAATGAGGCGCCTTTAACGTAGGTTATATCATCCTGTGCCGCTTTCACTTCCAAGTAAGGAGCTGTATCTGGCCAGTTACGGGCCACGAGGTTGTTCACTAAAGATTGCCGCCAGACCGGGTTGATGGTAGTATTAGGGACGTCCAAAGCCACAGCACCGCCGCCGTTGACACCCACAACGGTAAACGCATTCTGGCCAGGGAGGCCTGCAGTGACATTGACCATTTGTCGCAGGGCAGTGCTATTAATGAGCTGCGTACTCCGCAGAAATCGAGAAGTCATAATTATACTCTGCCCAACGTTCATGCTATTTGCATGAACATCGTGGAAATAGGTGAAATAATCGGGAAATGCAATGTATTCTGCCATTATGTTCATACCCTTAGAATTTAATGGCGCTAATTTCGCTACCACGGGTGCCATGCTTTCTTGTATATCATCGACGCTTCTATTGAAGCCACCAAAGGCCGACTCTAGTCGTCTGACTTTCGGAGCCAAGAGTGTGTCTCCGTCCCAGGCCGCCCAGCCAGCATAACCACCAAGATTTGCCTCTAGGATCATAGGCGTAGTTTCATACCAGGTCGCAACGGCATCCAAGAAAGAATGCTTTGACGGTCGCGTTGACGACAACTCCATAGGTGCCACCGCCTCCCCCCTAAGTGCCTGGAACAAATCGGTATTCGAGCACGCATTCACCGTGACGACATTTCCATTTGCGAGAACAACTGTATACTCAAGGACTTGGTCCGTAGCAATACCGAAATCGCGCATAGAAGCCGAGTGGCCTCCACCTTGCAAGTATCCGCCAACGGCACCTACTCCTGTACACGTTCCGCCAACGACGATCGCGTTTTGTTCGTGCGCAAATTGATACACTTCTGCCCACGTGTATGCTCCACCAATGGTAATCGCGCTGCCGGCCCAAAGAGCTGCCCCGGTAGACTCCATACCCTCAGGTTCCTGCGGAGAACATTGGCTAGTTGATAAATATGAGTCGTGGAAAGTGAGGCCCTGGCGGAGGTTATGTGTCCAGATCTCGAGACTAGCGTAACCTGTTGAGCGGCCCAGGAAATCGTGACCAGTTTGCTTGATAGCAACGCGCATGTTATGTTGTGTTGCGAACTTGAGCGCAAGAGAAATGTCATTTGCGTTTGTCACATTGACGGCGTAATAAGGAGAGTCTCCCAGCGAGCAACTAGAGGTGTTGCCACCAGGAATATCACAGTTTAAAGCGTAAGAGTAGTCATAGCCAGTTGGAAACCATGCATGAAAAAGCGAGCTGTTCCAATTGGTCTGGATAGTGGCGCACTGAGATGGGTTGTTTAGAGGCCCTGGGTAGCACGAGCAGCTACGGGAATATTCTGAATAAGCTTTCCTGGGAGTGATGCGTTGAAAGCATTCAAAGCTGTCTCAGTTGGCCAGCAGACCGCGTCGCCTGGGACCTATATGTTTGTTAGCAAACCGATTTGAGTATGGGTCCTCCGCGGACTCATTGTTTACATACACATTTACATGTATCTGCGCGCAGGCAGGGAAGGATTGACAGAACGACCAATTTCCAGCCGACCATTTTTCACGGCACAGGTTGATATATTTGATAGCAAAATGATGAACTGAGTCCTGGTACAAAATGGCGGGATCTCAAACATTTTATCTTCGTACTCCTGCATAGGTCACCCATGCTTCTTCTTAATCCAGGTCTTTTCAAGACCCAACTGAGGCAGTCATCAAGATTACTTGGTTTACCACCTGTGCCAGAGCTATACCAGTTAGGGCAAGAAAGTCTACAACACTGGATCTACTCCGTTTGTTGAACTCAACCAGGTGCCTAGCCCAGTTCTAACCCATCCCGAGTTAATCTGCTACTTATACATAGCGTATATTCTATCTAGTCTCAATACACGATGTTTTCTTCTATATTTTCTACAGTCATTCTCGTAAGTGGTTGAACAACCCTCAATTACAGGTGTCTTCTGCTGCTTGAAAGAATTTCAGCATGTGCTAGACAACACGGTCATATCTCAAAACGCCTACATGTACGCACCAACCTCCCCATAAACACCACCCAAGATCTATCTACGTCACATAGTAAGCAGGAAGCAATTCTCTACCGACCGATTATTTTCCAACGTTTTGTCTGTCATCCAATCCTTGCTGTTTTGCCATGTACCAACCCTGCAACCTCTGCTTAGGGTTAGATTAGAGGCAAAGATCAGGATTAAGAATATCCCGACAAAGTACATGTCGTATCCATTACCACCAGTCTCTTCCTTTAATATTTGTACTTTCCCTTCTTCTCGTCAAGCTGACAAGGAATAAACCCAGTAGTATGTTCCCGACAGACTCCATACGACCCTGCCTAACTACATGTCCCTTGTTTATGTACCGTACAAGGATCCATTTCCGTACGATGGAAATATTTCCATTCATAATAAAGAGCGGTGATATACTTAAAACATTGCAATATAATTATGGAATCATTTTTTAGTCAGAACGTGTTAGCGACATCTCATACTTGTCACCTAGACGCAGGCATAGTTACTGCAGTTGATATCGGTAGCGTTGTTATGGTGAGTATCTCGCTGAATCAGGAACTTTATTCGTAAATTTAAGTATTACAGGCTAATATTACTATGTATCAATTAACCATTCTATATGCCTAATGAAATCGCACGAATGCTTCATAGCTGGAGCAAGTGAAGGAAAGCCTACTGGTGGCATTTGTTCGCGTTGGGCGTCGAGAGTTTTTCCGGGGGCTTCGACAGAGTATATTACTAGCGGTAACTAACATGCGCTTATACACCGCCCGGTAAGCAGCAGGAAATATAAGTAGTATTAGGCAATTGCAGGGGAATCCCAAACAGGGGAGGCCGACTGTAATCTGTATTACCCCATACAATTAAGGACGGCTTATGAAGCCCTTCCTAGCATAAATAGCACCTATAAAAGTAGGGTTGTAAACAAAGGCTGCTTTAAGTCGTGTAATCAAGCTATTCCTGTTATATTGCTAATACCTATACTATAATATCTATAGAACACTTATGTAACAAAAGTCTGCTCTACTAGTGACCCCACGCTATATTACATCCTACACTACATAACCTACCTAATAACTTTAAATGCAAATAATATAATAAATTTAAATAAAAAATATAATTTCTTTATATTATTAAATAGCCTGGCTTCTATAGATTAATATTTTATATAATAACCTTAAGCTGCATATACTACAGTAAAGCAGCATAGTATTAACTTAATAAGCTTATTTATTAAATTTTAGTTTATTAAGTCCTAAGCCTTTTTTATTTTTTACTTTAATAATATAATATTTATATAATTATACCTTAAATTTTAAAGCTTTAGGTAAATTTATAATAGCTTTTTCTTTAGGGTACTTTAAGTATACTTAATTAAATTAAAATCTAGGCTATAAGGCATTTAATTAATATAAGTAATACTATAAATCTAAAGCTATTTTAGTATACTATTAAAGTTATAAATTTTTATATTATTTTACTAAAATAAATATATACTATTATATATAAAAAAAAGGCCCTTTAATAATATATTTTAATAATTTTTTATATTATATTTTTACCTTAAGGCGTTAAAATTATATTTTATAATAATTAAATAAATCTAGATGCTTTTTTAAATTCTTTTTTAAATTATAATAAAAATCTAGGCTTATTTATATATTATAATATTAACAATTTTTTATTAAACCTTTTATAAAATACTTTAAATACTTAACTGCGCTTATTATTAAGTTTATTTTATACTATAGCTTTATTTAAGAAAAAGGCTTATTATATATATTAGCCTTAATTATTAATTTAAATTTAAATACTTATACTTTAATTAATTTTTTTTTAATTATAAATAAATTATAACTTAGCTTTTATTATTTTTTTTTAATATTTTAATTTATTATATTAACTTTTATTTATATTTATATTTATATTAAAAAGTATAATAAATTATATATAAAATTATATAATTATTAACTATATTAATAAGTATATTTTATATTATTTTTTAATTTTTTTAATAAATGTATAATATATTAAATCTCTGCTTTTAAAAGCTTTTTTATATAATATTATCTTTTTACTAGCGCTACTAAATTACTTATATAATTAACTATATAATATATAAATTAACTGCAATATATATATAAAAGTCGCTGTATAAAACTGCTTTATATATTATACCTTTCTGCTTTAAATTAAATTCTTTATTTCTTTAGTAATTCTCGCTTATTTAATATTAAAAGCATATGTTTTTAATATTTTATTATTATACAATTGCTATTTAAAGATTGGGTGTTATTTTTAGTGGTTTATTGTTATGTACTAGTGGAGTCTCTAGTGGCGCAGACTTTTGGCACCTGAGTGTAGAAAATAGTGGGATTAGGTTACCGGCAAATCGGCCAACAGCGTTCAAGCAGGTTGCCATCAGGTGGCATATAAAAACAGCTGGAGGGCATTGAGGTACTGTATCAAGCAGCGCAGCACCTACCTATATTATAAACAAAAATACAGCTGTAACCCCTATATTAGTGAGAATTTTACAATAGTAATTTAAAATATTGATAATACAGTTTTATTTTACCTGCTGTTTAATTTTAAACCGGCAAATGCCCTAAAATATAAAGTAATAAAATATATTGTAAAGAAAAATTTAGTATAAAAGCAGAATTTCTGTTTAAGATTATGCAGCAGTTTGTAGTATTTATGAGTACTATAACAGCACCTGGCCAGCACCTATTTAACACCTTGTTGGCACTGTTCCAGTACATAGAATAAATTACTTTACTTCCATAATTCTTCGGCGACCTCTTTCTTTGTCAATCCTCTTTAGGCAATCTCTCAACATAAAAGAATTCTTCCACAATGCGTTTTGTCCATTCCCTCGAAATCTCGACGAAGCCTTATTGGCATAGCCTTTAGGAATTTAACAGGACTCTTTGTGAGTATTCTTTCTCTGCCACGAAGGAATAAGCCCATCTGCTTTCACAGCATATTATCTTCTGTTGCTTGCTATGCTAAACACAACATCCTACATGTCTTCTGAGAGTCAGCATAGGATGCAAAATACAATTGGCCAGAGAAGATATTTAACAGTAGCCTAATGGAAGACGGCAGTGACCAATCTTCCCCAAGGAGTGGTGTGAGGTGGAGTTTTAGTGAATCCAGCGGTGAAACGGCCAAATTTGGCCGGGGGCGTGCAGATGGAGTGTCACCTTGCTTGAAGCCTCAATAGATGGTATGGGCCTCTGAGCTTTATGGCGACTGATTGTTATCATACGATAAACCATATTACCTTTGTCCGTGGTACTAAATATCCATTGCACTGGCCGCTGATATAATCCGACAGTGAGGCGTTTCCGCTAAGAATGACAAGTAACCATATCCCTGTAATCCGGCGTTGTAACAATGCTCTCTGGGTACTCTTTGACATCGAAACCATTCGCCGCACTAGTGTTCTATAGAGTCTGAAAAGGGGGAATAAATGCCGAAGATGACGAGGACACTCTACCAGATTCAATAAAATTGACAGCATTGGGGTGCAGCGTGTTCTTTCCAGGATCAGATGGATGTGGTTTTGTACCTGCCATTCTTGCTCCGTCTCTGGTGACAGTTCTCATTCTTGTTCTTCAAGAGTGGATTGTTGATTGCCCTGGCGATCAAACTGCATCGCTTTTGAATTTCCAGTATGGCGCAGCTTTGGCGAAGAGGAAGGTACATTGGACTTTGTGTGCTCCATCAAATGAGGACTGTGCCTATCTTCCATAGATCGCGCAAGTTTGCGAAGCATTTTTGCTTCCTCCAGAGACAACTGGCGTAGCTCTGTAACTATTGTTTGATCCCATATAGCTCTCTGACGCTCAAACCTCTCCCCGTACATGGCCTAGAGCGGTATATTTCGCCTTGCGCCAGCATACGTCTCCAAAATTGCCCAATGCAAAACATCCAAAACGCTAATCGTGTTTCTTTCTGAGAAGCAAGCTGTCGGGCAAATCTTTGTCTGGATCTCCTCTGGCACGCAAAGTATGACTCATTGGCCCTGGACAAGTTTTCGCATTCCCATGCATGCTGCATTCAATCAGCTATGGCCGTTATGCAACAGTTAACATTACTTACCTTGCACCAATCTATCTCTGATAAGATTAGCCCCCCATGAGTAGCCGTAGTTCTATAACTAGCCGGACGCTTTAGATTAGTTCCTCTAGCGTGAGCCTCGCCAAGGTATATGAGACGAAGATCCAGCTGGTGGGAAGGAGGTATTTGAAGTTTTTTACGTATCCCTTGCAATCTAAAATGTATAGTTTATCGGCATCGTTGAAAAATCACAACAGATTCTTCTTTCTCTTCGACAGGGACAATCTTTATAGTCACTCCTGAGCAGCCTGGATGTTGGTGAATTCAAGAATATGTGCTCTAACACCAAGAATGACATGAAGATGAGGGTCTACACACCGGAAGAATGCCAAAAATGTCTTGTCGGACAGTGCTTCTTCTGTGTACCGTTAGATAAGCTCAATGCTATTCTCAGACTGTAATAACCATTCCAAAAGCAAGGCATTGGTGTGTAGCTAATCATTAAGATCCAACTGTTCAATTTCAAGAGTTCAAAAATTAAGTGGGTCGTTAGTGCCACTGGAACTATCTATTCAGAGGAAAGAAAGATAATTGAGATGTACTTGAGCATAGCATCTCTTGTGCTCCTCTGGTCGCCAGCCTTGATAATCTTTGGCTTCATCTCAGACACATCTTGGTGACTCATTGTCGCAATTGTTTTTGCAAGACCTTCTTGATATTGCTCCTCTCTGAACACCTCAAGGCTTACAGCAATTGAAGAAGGTGAAAAAGAACCCTTGAGACGCCCTGAAATAGCCATTACCCTTTCGTTCTGGGGTGAGAGTTCAAACGGCGCGAACAACGGTGTCCTTGTTGCAAGTTATGACGGTACCAGCATTATATGCTGTCACATGAAGCAACAAGAATCCTTCTACCGCCTGGTTAGCAAAAATTGCTCTGTATACACAATGTCACGTTCGTTTGCGTTGACCTGATGACGTACCATCTTACCAAGATCATACAATACCTCGCGAAGCATATCCTCATGCAAGAATCCGGTTGCATTGGCGATCTTACGAAAGCGATGGACGGCCTCCGCTGTCCTATCAATTAAATCCTTATGGCTTAGCTGAATGATGGTGCTAAAAGTTTGAATCGCATCGGCAACGATCGATAGCGGGGAAGCCTCGTGAGACAAAGCGTGGGGATCATCACCATTCCGTGGATGCTTTGGAGGAAGAGAGACATTGTTACGACCCGCCTCTTATGGTCGCAACAATGGGCCTACAGGGTAGGCAAAACTGGATTAACATAGGACCGACCTACTAATTACAACAGATCATTAGATCATTATAATAATCCAATAATTTATAAATAGATTATTAATTTTATAAAATAATTTATAATAAATTATTAAAATTTATAAATAATCTAGCTTAATTAATTAAATATATATTTACTTTTTATATTTATTTAAATAACTTAAATAGCTAATTATTAATATAGTTTTATATTTATAAATTAAAAAGTATTTTTAATTTTTATTAGTAATTATTATTATAATATTATTACCTATAGGTTTTTTAATTTATTTACTAATATAAACCTAAAGAATTTATTTTAGGTTTATTTTTTAAAAATTTACCTTATATTAATTATTTAATATATAGTTTATTATATATTAATAACTTTTATTTAAATAATTACTAAACCTATAAGTAATATTAAAATAAATAATTTCTAAGACTTTATTAAATCTATAAATTAATCTAATATAAAAGAATAAATATAATATTAAATACTTTTATTAAATTTATAAAACTTTATAAACTATTTAATTATTTTTAAATAATTAATTTATTAATTAAAAGTATAAAAAATTAATAATATATAAATTATTAATATTTTATAATAATAGCTTATTATACTTTATAATTTATTAATAATATTATTAGCTATAGCACTTGCTATAGTTATACCTATAGTATAATTTATTAAAATAATTAAAAAATAATTTAAAAAAATTCTTAAGTTTTTTTACTTTAATAAATTTAATAAAAACCTAATTAAGCTATATAAGTTTTTTAATAACCTTTAAATTTATTTTAAATATTATTTTTTAAACTTTTTTATATTTATTAAATTATTTAAATATATTTAATATATAGAAATTTAAATAAATAAAGCAGCAAAAGATTAAATTAAAGTAATTTTAAAAGATTATTAAAAAAATACCTTTAATAAATAAAAAACTTAAACTATAGCTTATTTATTAACTATAATAATTTTAAAAAAAAATTAAAAAAGTTTTTTAAAATTATTAATAAAACTTAAAAAGTTAAAAAAAAACTTAAAAACTTTAAATAAAAAAAACTATATTATTAATATACATTAATATTCTTTTAGTTATTTATTAAAGTAAATTAAATTAAAAATTTAAAAAAAGAAATTTATTATTATAGCCTAAAACCTAAAGTTAAAAATAAAATTTATAAAATAAATTAATAATAAATTAATTTTATTAACTTTATTTAAAAAGCTATTAAAATTAATAATTAATAATAAAAAAAAAAGTAAAAATAAAAAGCTAAAAAAAGCAGTATTATAATTAAGCTTTATTTATAGGTTAATTAAAGAAAAAATAAATAAATATATTATTAAAAATAATAAAACTTAATTAAGTAAAATAAACTTTAATATTATTAAAATTATTAAGTTTAAAAGAAAATATAATTTTTATAATAAGCTAGGCTATAAAAAAGTTTATTATTATTTTAAAAAAAAAAAAAAAAAAAAATAAAAAAAGTTTTAAATAAAAAAATAAAATAATAATAAATATTATAAAAAAAAATATATAAATAAATATTATTATTAAAATATTTTATACTAGCCTTAATTAAACTATTTACTATAATAATATATACTTTATATATAAAAGTAATAAAAATAAATTAAAGCATTATTTAAAAAAACTAAAAAAAGCAAAAAACTAAAAAAAAGTTAAAATTAATATTTTAATTTACTATAAATTATTTAATAATAAAAATTTAAACTTTAATATAAAATTAATTTATAAATATTATAGATTTATTAATTTTATTTATAAATATAATAAAAAATAAATAGTAATTTAAAAAAAAAAGTATAATTATAATAATTATTATTTATAAAACCTTAATTATAAATACTAAAAATACTTAAATTATAGATTTATAGAAGGATATTAATATAGTTATAAAGGGGAATAGTAATAAAATATAAAAGCTATATATAAGCTTTTTAAAAAAAAAAAATAAATTAGTAAAGGAGTACTTTAAAATATAAACCTTTAAGTTAAAATTAAAATATATAGTCTATAGTAAACTAAATATAAAAAAGTACTACTGCCTTAAGGAAAAACTATATAATATATATAAAAAAATAAATTACATTTATAAATTATTTAATTATAAACCCCAGTAATATAACTAATATAGTTCTTAAAAACTATAGTATAATAAAGCTTGCTTAAAGTTTAATAAAAGAATATATAAATACCTATAATATTACTTATAAAATATAAAATATTACTATAAGAAACTATAAAAATTAAATAAATTAATTTTATTTTATATATATTAATATAACCTCTATTACTCTTAAGACTTTAATTATAATTATAAAAGATATAATATTTATAAATTAATAAATAAAGAATATAATTATATATATATTTTAAAAGTATAAGCAGAAGAAAAAGAAAAATAAAAAAACAAGCAGTAATATCTTAAAGAATATTTACTTTAAAAAATAAATTTAAAATAAATATAAAAATAAATAAAAGCTATTAAATAAAACCTTAAAGATATTTATAACTATATTTTAATTTATAATATTTTTAATACTTTTAATAAAAATTATAAAAAGTATTATTAAAAGAAATATAATAATATATACTGCTAAATATATATATTTAATAAATTAATAAATTAATATAGTAAATAACTAAAGTAAATTAAATTAAAAAAGTATTTAATAATATACTTTTTAAACTATATTATATTATATTATAAAAAATATAATAAAGAAAAATATTAATTTTTTTAAATTACTTAAAAGCTTTTATAAAAAAACTATAACTTTAGTAATTATTTAAATATAAAATAAAAAAATAAAACTTTAATTAAAAAATATTATTAAATAATTAAAAAATAAAATAATTAAATTAAATACTAATAATATAAGAAGTATTAATTTAAAATATAGTAAAAAAGCCTTTTAAATATAATTATTATTAATTTAATTAAAATATTTAAAAAAAAACTAATAATTAATAAATATTTAAATTAATAATTAATTAAAATTTATATAAATAATAATTTAAATTATAACTTAATTACTAATAGCTTAATAAACTAGCTTAAAATATTATATATTATTAAAAAAGCTTTATTAATTATTTTTAATATTATAAATATAAATATAAAAATAACTATTATTTATAAAATTAATTATTTTTTTATAATAATTATTAATTAAATTAAAGATATTAAATTTAATATATTAAACTTATAAAATTATAATATTTTATTAAAATATCTATAGTTAAAAAAATATAACCCTATAATTAATTAAAAAATAAAAAAAATAATTTAAAAAGAAAATATTTTTTTAAAGTTATAACTAAATTAAAAAGGAGGTAAAGAAAGTAAAAATATATTTATAAACCTATAATTAAAACTTTTTATATAATTAAAAAAAAAAAATAAAAAATAAAAAAAATAAAGTTAAGAAAATAAAAATATAAAAGAAAGTTAAATTTAATTTTAAAAAATTATTAATATTATTATAATATAATAATTAATAATAAAAAATAAAAATTATATAAATTAATAAAATTATTATTAAATATTATATAAAACTAGTTAAATTTAATATAATATTAATAAAAGTAAAAAAATAAATTAAAATTAATAAAAATAA